ATCTCTCTTTGAGAGCCGTTGCACCATCCGTCATTCCGTGTTCTCCGGTAGAGCCCGGATCGACGAACTCAGAGCAGATTATGACCTGCACGAGAGACAAATTGGCGGTGGATGCTCCCAGCTGATGCCCCAATTAACACAGTATCTCAGTAGTTGTATTGGGAGAGCGTCAAGAGTGCAAAACTAAGCGTAAAGAGATTTCAAGTTGATTTATTGGCCTATAGGCTATGATAATGTAAGACCTCTTATCATATTCATCATCCCATCCCTGATCAGACTTGGCGAAGACCAAACGCAAACATCCCATTCGACTCTACAGCCTCTTTGTCCCTCAACTTGTTAGCAGTCTCCACACCAGCAATGGGGACGCGATATTCCAATTTCTCTTGACCTTGCGCATTCGGCACTGGATGAGGATATGGCAGGTAGGAAGGCATCAAACCCAACTGCGCTAGCACTGTTCCCTGATCCCATCCAATGTGTTCGTGATAAAGCCGGTCTCCACGGATGTTAACAACAGCGGTGAACGGTACTTCGAGCTTTCGCCCGGTAGGAGGGATCCCTGGTGCACTAGTAGTAGAAGAAGCATCAGCCGGCATATTCCCTAATAGGTGTATTAGTGTAAAAGACATACAGCCAGTCAATCTGGGAATGATGAGTGCACGTGAAGATAAACTCGTCGATGACTCTATCAATACCAAGAGATCTGCTAATGAGGTAGGTTTCTGTATCTGCAGGATTTTGGAAAATGAAGTGGTCGCGGTAGAAGGCAGTCAGCTTGTCCCGGCCAATCCCGCCTGTCATCTAGGTAGTATGAGTCAGCTGATACAGGTCTTTAGAAAAAGGTGAGAGGTGGGAAGGCAATTACCGTAGGCACATGATTGACATATGGCTCTTGTACCATGGTGCTCATGGTGTTCTCCACCGAGCGGTTTTCGAACTCCCAATAGGTATGTTCGTCCCAGATAACTTCTAGATCGAAGTATGGCCCGTTCATGAGGGGCTTCAAGAAGCCAAGACTTCGGCTGTGAGAAACAGATTCCATGTTGTAGCTAAAGTCCTTGCTGAAGGGAGTGGCAAACAAATACGATGTTGCTTCGGGGTAGTTGTAAGCCGTCACCGCCTTTGTACGTTGCAAGCGTTTGGAGGACTTCCCAGCAAGATGATGCAGCTGTGGGACCTTTGAGGATGCGATTGCAGAGATATCACTATCCCCAAGATCACCAAAAATGACAGCACCTGACATCTGGGAGAACGAGTCTACATGCGGAGCTATTTTGTTCCAAAGCACCGACGAGTATGCTACAAGGACGTCTATTAGCTCGCCAGTCCGGCCTTTCTGCTAATTTTCAACGATTAAATACTTACCCACGACACCAACGACGTTCTTGGGCTCGGTAGACCTCGTCGCCTCCAGCTCCTTCAATGCTTGACTCACAGCTAGACTAGGATTGGCAAGTCCTGCCTCTGTGATTTCAGCGACAGTGAAGCCCTCTTCCGCCCATTTCATCAAGGGAGACGGCACACATCCGTCAATCCGCAGTGTATCACTGGTGGCCTTGCCAGTTTCGGGAACGAGGATGATTAATCCTGGCCCGGAACCACGTCTGCTGAGGGGCTCTAGAATTGTAAGGCTGACTGTAGGGTTGCGCAGACGAACAGTTGGGAGAACTGGAGGCGTGGAGAAATTGTTTTCCGACATGATCAGTACCAGGGAAATTATGCAATGATTTTCTTATGGTTTGCTACTAGACTTGGAGTAGAAAGTAAGAGGTTTGCTAGTGTAGTGCTTCAGGGTTTCCTTTATGAGGGCGGAGTCTGTTATGTCATGATATACGGATGTACCGTTCAAGCGAATCGGATATCCGGCATTGACACTCCCTGACAGGGCGGCAACAAAGTTACAGGCCCTGGCAGCTCCTTCCTTTGTTTGAGTTCCTTGCTTACAATATCAAACCTACACACTTGTTCCGCACCAAGGATAGTGCGCGGTGTGGCTACTGAAGGCCGGGCTCAAGCCGGCCAGACGAAGTCCTACGGATCACAATTCCGTTTAATATATAATGATATGAAAAAGCTTTCCGTAGCTCAGGCTGTTCCGCTCGAACATGATTGGTGATAAAATCCAACCACTCATTACTGTTATACCCCGCTTCTTTCTGTTATCTATCCCACCCGATTTATTGTCTCTCTATGTACGCTGCTAAAGTCATTTTTTATCATCCAAATTAAAAAAAAACCTGACATGCGATGATGGCAAACTTGTTCTGTAACTTAGTTATGCACTGAGGTCCTGATTTGAATTGATCCGTGCGCTGCAACGTCGGTTACAAGATTACATGAGAGGCATTTTCACAGTAAGGTTCAGCAATACAACAAAGATTAGGATATAATTAATTATTATCAAAACAATTAATTATGATGCATCCTAGAGCCGAGACTCTTGTAACCAGTTTCCCAAAGTGATGAAGAAATGGACGTTGGACAGAAGGATAATATCCAGCAGATTTCGGCATGACCCCTCATGAATCGATCATATAGATGATTTGTGCAGCTTGCTTGTCCTAATTCTGCCATTTGAAACCTGGGTGTCGCCATTCAAGGTCTTGGATTTCCGAGAGAGTCTTACCAGCTAATTCTCTCTCCACATCCACTCCAGACCTTCTCTTGTTACTCCTCTCAATCGCGAAATACATGCAGATGGCAATCAAAAAGATAGAGGATTGCGCTGCCAGATTTAAACCGTTACCGATTCGATATTCAGGTCCATCGAATGGGAGAAATGCCCAAGTTGAAACCAAACCTCCAATGTTGCCGAGCATCACGTTGAAGGCGACCGCAGAGGACCGAGAAGTATCCGATATGACGTTTGCTGAGACGTGGGCATTGGGGAATGCTCCCATAGCGAAGATGCCGCATACTGGGAGAAATGTTGCCGCATAGCGCACATGCGGATTAGATGTTGCCAGAAACATGCTGTACCCTACCATTGAGAACGGTGCACAGATGATTAGGAAGATGCCGCGCTTGTCTACTTTCCAGCTTATGTAGCAGAATAGCATGCACATAATAGTGCCCAGGACATTGGGTGGAACTGTGAGGAGCTGCTGGTTCTGCACAGAGTGCTGAGGAAAAATTGTGCGAACAATGGTAGGAAGAAAGAAGGACAGGCCATGTACAGTGATGAAGTTGAAGAAGGATATCACGGCTGTTGGGAGCACCACTGGGTTCAGGATGCCTCGGAGCATTCTCTTGGTGCCAAACTTGTCGATAATTTCTGTTGTTCCGACTCTCTCTGACATGATTCTTGTATTTGCCAATACCTTTTGTTCCGGTGATAACCAGGTGGCAGTTTCGACCCTATCCGTAAGCGTGAAGAATGAGATCACTCCCACTGCACAGGTCACAGTACCTTCAATCGCAAAGATCATCCTCCAAGAATGCAAGGAGCCAAAATGGCGAAGACGCAAAATGGCAGAGGCAAGCAGACCTCCAAATGCACCCGCCAAGGAGGCCGAAATGATGACGAACGAAAGCCGAAAGGTCAGTTCACTGCGTCGATACCAACGCGAGAGGTAGTATACGTTGGCCGGCAACATGGCAGCTTCGAAGACGCCAAGTAAAAACCGGAGCCCGCACAGAGTCGAGAAGTCATTAACAAAGGCCGTGCAGGTGGTGCATATACCAAAGCCGAGACAGCACGCAGGTATAAACCAACCCGGCCCTATCCGCTTGCACAGGAGATTCAGAGGGATCTCAAACAGGATGTAGGAGATGTAAAAGATTGAGAGGGAAATGTTAAAGTCATAACCCTGCATCTTCAGGTCGGCCTCTAGACCCGCGATCTTGGCGTTACCTGTAGAGTCATGAGAGATATGGCCGCGACTGGATGTCTTGATGTACTCACCAATGTTTGCGCGATCAATAAAGCAAAGCACTGGATCGTAGGTGTGTCAGATACTCCTCGTCTATGGATTTGGACTGTCGAGGCATACAGTAGATAATCGTAACCGTGGGCAGTATACGAAGATCCATCTTCCATCGAAGCTTGGACTCCAACGCTTCGTCAATAGGTAGTGCCGGTTGACCATATCTGTAACTCGTGTTTAGTACTCTCTTTTCATCTTTCCTAAATTTATCTTACTGGTGCACTGTGCCCTCCTCGATGTCTTTCGTGTCTGGAGACGTCTCGAGGGAGAATGGAGCTTCAGATTTTGGGTACATAACCGATGGCTCCATGTTGGTAACAAGGAAGGATAAGTAAGTCAAATTTAGTGAGTAAAGAACAAAGGTTCAGAGTTTGGTGCTGGTTTAGACTTTTGCTCCTAATTTATGCGATTGATGTGTTGCAAAAAGCTTGATTATTATTCCGATACGACGGAAATAAAAGCAATTACGGAATTAGTTAATATGCTTGGCATTGATTGTGCATTTATTTAAACAGGGTCTTACCCGATATACTGTCGGGTAATGTTATACGGAAGACGATTACATACCACCATTCCGAAGCTTAGGAAAAAGATAGGAAATGTGGCAAATCTACTTCCTATCGCATACTGTACTACATATGCAATTTCTGGTTTGCAGAAGCAGATGAAGTCAAAGTCTCAGTAAGAGCACACAGCGGCAACTTACAAGGGCTTGTTAATTATATGTGAAGAACTTTTTTGTGCTACATGTTCCTTATTTGACAGCGTTTGGTGCCAAGTATTTCTCTCCAGTGGGTCATCTTTACAGCAAGTATCAACTTCATAATCCTCAATTTTATATCTGGTCCGTTGCAGCTGGGTAAGAGGATCCTAGAATAGGCGACGACATTCTGCTGGTACCTGCTGCTGCTACAGAGGTGAGGCGGCGCTCCAGAACGCCTTGGCACTCGTGGCAGAATTGGATCAGGGTCGTGTAATGCATCACCCTTGCGAGGGTTGTTAGATGCCAGATTAGCGAGTTGGTGTTGGCAGGGTCGATGATTTAGCAGATACTTTAAACACAAATACTGTCTAGCCGGAGCAGAACCTACTAATTGATAGCAGCGCGTTCTCTATAAATCATATACTATCGCTTTCCTTCTCCACATACCCTACTCCAAAGCGAATGCCATCTTCATCTGGAAACTCCGCCTCAGGTCCGAAATCGATATTGTCCGGATCAAGACAAGTCAGACATGTGTGGACGACTTGAGCATATCTTGACACCATGTATGCTGGTAATTGGATGTGCGCCATCTCGATGAATTTATCCTTCACCCTTGCCGGGTATTTTATGTGGATGCCGTCGAAAATAAGACCTTTGTCCAGTCACCGTCGTTACGGAGATACGTGCGGCCCTTCCTGTGAAAGTTACCGAAGCCAACCAGGAACGTAGACCTACTAGACGTTTTAGCTTCTTCCAAGGTGAGGACTGTCTCAGGGCGGACATCCTTGTGAACGAAGCCGAAGGTGTGACCATAGCTGACAGACTTGGCCAGCTCGCGCGCAACATCGAGCTTCTCAGTCATGCAGCGTGGCGCACACCCGGTAGTGAGAAGGTACCGAAGACTGCACGGGTCGGTGAGGCCTTCACGCTTCTCGAAAACCAGAGTGCATGTCGCCTCCAATTAAGGCCCAATCTTCCTTTCATCTCTGACGACACCTTTGAAAGTCAAGAGGCTAAAGGTCTGCGGGGTTCTATGGCATAATTTCCTGGCCAAATCAGATCTCATAGATATTTCTTTATGATCTGTACGTGCTCTCCGGGAGAGCACTCGATACTCTTGAGGATAAGTTGCTTGCTGGAACCCAGTCTATGGCCTAACGCAGCATCACAGAATTTACCTTGGAACGTGGAGATATATGATATGTCTGGGCCATCTGGGATGACGGTTGGGGCATGAGCACTATGATGGATGAGCGGGATGAGGAATGGGAAGCCCGATGCCAGGCCCAAAGAGACAGCGGTGTTTCCAGTTCTTCTGGATAGGATCGGGACTCGCCTCCTATCTCCGGAGATAAAAATGCCTTCGCACTATTCTGTACTTGTTTTCAACATCAATGTAGGAAGATGATTGAGGGCAGTTAAATAGTATAATCTGCTTAGGGCTTGGATATACTTAATATTACCTACCTAGGCTGTTGTATCTTTATAATTACTTTTGAATATGAAATACTTAGCTTCTCTCACCCTCATTCAGCCACTTGTAGACAACTCGCGCATCCTTACCTTTATATCGCTCATCCCTCATGGCCTCCTGAAAAGCCTGTTTGGCCGGCCCATCCAGAACCGTCTTTGCGCCAACATCCTCAGCCAACATTGAACCCATCTGCAATACCTTCTCGCACAGCTCTATGCGGAAACCACCAAGATAACCATTCGAACTCGGCACATTCGGCATCACCCCAGGCACAGGGTTAGCCTTGGACGTCACCCAGCACTGACCGCCGCTGACATTAATCACATCCGATAGAAGCTTCGGATCCAAGCCAGCCTTGACGCCAATGTTGAGTGCTTCGGCTGCGGCTACTGAGGTGATGGCGCTGAGGTAGTTGTTGATGATCTTGAATGCAGTGCCTGCGCCGACGTCGCCACATTGGAAGATGCTTTTACCCATATGTTTCAACAGTGCTTCTACCTGGGGGAAGATCTTTGCAGACTTGGGTTGATAAACGCCAACCATGAATGTGAGCGAGCCGTCAATAGCACCCATAGGGCCACCGGAGACAGGAGCATCAACGAAGGATAGTGTGTCAGACAGCTTGGATGAAACTTCTTCCGTAGTTTTAGCAACCTTTTTGATCGTGGCAGTCTCGATAGTGCCGCATTCTATGAAAAGCTTTTTTGCTGAATTGCCATCGGGAACAGCTGCTACAGCACCGGCTAGGATGCCGGTGTTGGGGTCCAAGTAGACGGCCTCAACTGCGGTGGCTGTCGGTAGCATAGTAATAACAGTGTCCTGAGTTTATTAGCTTCTCTGTACGCGAACTGAGCACAGAAACGTACCGCTGCTTTAATCGCCTCGTAGCCGTTCTGAACGACCGACACTTTGCCGAAACCCTTGACCTCATCTTGAAAGTCACGCACGGCTTCTTGGTTTACATCGGCGATCAGAAAAGGCTTGGATGCCCCGAGTCCCTTGATCAGGTTGACGGCCATGGGGTATCCCATGACGCCCAAGCCTGGCCACAACATCAGTACTGCGTGGAGCATTGTGTTGTAGGCTTAGTCACCTATAAAAGCAATTGTATCGGCTGGAGAAGACATGATAATGATACGGTGACTATATAGAAATAGCGATCAAAATTACTGGAGAAATATTGAAAAGAGAAAGAATCAAGAAAGGTACCTTGCTGAGACTCGCAGACGTGATCTAAGCCCATCAACTACCGATATTTAAACTGGCCTTGCCTTATATGCATTACTACCGCTATAAGCTTGAAAGTCGACCTCCACACTGAGGTTCGCTACAACGTGCGACGAGCTTCCCCGCATTAGCGTTTTGTGTAATTGCAGTGCCTCGTCTGTTGTTCAAGGTATGAGCCAATGTGGGGGAGCGGTATTTCGTACATGTACACACGTTATGAAGTCAGTACTTACTGCCAAAAGTCTCCGCTTCTTATCTTCAAGACGGCATATTACTCAGAAAATATAGTATGTCAAAGTTGAACATGTCAGTTAATATTGATATGACCTAAAGCTTGCCCGGCCAGAACCGATGTCGGTTCTTCTCCCTCCATGTCTTATCATGAGCAACAATAACCTCTACTTCAATCCCCTCGTTTACGCTCATTTCCTTTGCGAATTTATCGATTTGACCCAGTGTCTTCTGCGCTACACCCGTATGCGTGTGCACGCTCCTTATTCCACCCTTCCCATCATCATACAGAGCGATGCCCTTCTCTCCACTCAGAATCCTCGGATCGTGGCAGCAGTCGCCGCCCAGATAAATGAACCGTCGCTCGGCAACGCGAAGTAATAAGTTGACGTGGCCATAGAGATGACCCGGGCTGTCTATAACGAAGACACTTCCATCACCGAACAAATCTAGAACGTGGGGAAGATTTGCCAAAGGCTCCCACGACCATGAATCCACGTGAACGCAGCTGGGAAGTGTGGCTACCGCCTCAGAGGGTGAGTACGTGTGCTTGGGGGCATGCGGGGCAGCGTCATAACCTTCTTCCTTGGTAGCATAAGGGACGGCTGGGAGTTCAACAGTTCTGGAAGCTGGGAGTTCGTCATCATTGAATATTTCTGTTGGGTAGAGAGGCCCTGCACCATGCTTAAGTAAATCTAATGTCCCAGAGCCAACAACAAAGCAAGCATTGGTGAAGTCAGACGGTGTACCAACATGGTCCCAGTGGACGTGGCTGAGGATCACCATATCAACATCCGTTGCGGGATCGAGAAGAGTCTCGCCATTGCTACCTGGTTCCCAGTCAGCCCCGTACTGTAGACTGTCGACGCAATCTGGTCGGCTGATGATGGGGTGACGATTGGCGATATGTTCTTGTTGCTTGGAAGGGTAGCCTGTCAAATTCCGCTTCAGACCTAGATCAAAGACAAGATTTACGTCTCTGCCACCTTCATGGGCCGGGTGCTTCACAAAGAACGCCAACGAAGGTACAGTTGCTCTCTTATTGCAGTCGGCTTCGGTGACAAATAAGTTCTCAGGCAGAGTGAGGTGCCCAGCATCGAGTGCGGATACGGTCACGTAGACCGGTGGGGACTTGTTCTCGCCAGCCATGATAATACCTGGAGATCAGCATGGTCGGATTTACCAAAAGTGCTGCTGCCTTTTTGATCGGCTGGATTGTGTAACTCAAGCTACATCCCCGCATAATGTATGTGGCCCATGTGGAGGCGGGAGATTGCCTCCACAGACAGACCAGAGCCAGATCATTTACTTCTTGAAAGGCTTCCCAAAATGAAGACCGGCTAGAACAGTTTGCTCGTAACATTCGATTGCCCCCTTCAACGCAATTTCCTTTCTGACGTATACTTCAAGGGCCAGTCTATTCTCGGCAATTGGCCTAGCTTCGTTGGCAACCGCAGCAATGGCCAATCCAACAGCTTTACCCTTGACCATGAAGGCACAGCTGCTCAAGGCTTACAATCAGCCATACGAGTATTGCGACATACCTTTACCTTCCATGGAAGAACCCCATGATGTGTTGATCAAGGTCGAGGCCGCTTCCTACTGCCATACAGATGCTGTTCTTGCTGCAGGCAAGATGGCGCCCAATCCGCCATCATTTCCACACATTGGCTGTCATGAATTTGCGGGCACAGTAGTAGCATTGGCAAACCCGGCCGTCTCACTCCGTGTTGGCGACCGAGTTGGCGTGGGGGGCCGATCTTTTCGTCCTTGCACGACATGCTTTGAGTGCATATCCGGTCCGAGTGCGGCGAACCCAGACGCAGATTCCCCTGGATACTCAGTATACTGCCCAAATAGCATGAATAATGGCATAAGCGGGCCGGGGGGGTTCAGAGAATATGCGGTTGTAGATGCGAGACAGGTCGCACTTGTGCCAGATGGCATGAGTACAATCGACACTTCAGTCATGATGTGTGCTGGTCTAACGATTTACTCGGCTCTCAAACGTTGTAAACTGCAAAGAGGACAGAGGGTTGGAATCGTGGGCTGCGGTGGTGGCCTTGGCCATCTAGGCTTGCAATTTGCCATCGCCATGGGCTTCAAGGTTCTTGGCGTGGATAATGCAGACGTACCTCTGAAACTTGCGAGGCAAACCACCAGCCACGCCAGGATTGTGGATGCAAGAAAAGAGCACGCTGAGACTGTGGTGAAACAGCTTGGGAAACAGGATGGTCGCGTAGATCGAGGACATATGGGTCTTGATGCGGTTATTATCCTCTCCGAAAGCCAAGCCGCCTTCACCTATGGGATGAAGCTGCTTAGAAATCACGGAGTGTGTGTCGTGGTATCTTTCCCTGAGAAGCCATTCCAGCTTGCAGCGCAAGACCTTGTCTTTCGGGACATCGCTGTCATTGGTAGTCTGGTTGGAAGTAATAAGTTGCTGCGTGAGATGCTGCAGTTTTCAGCCCAGCATGAGATCAGGGCAAGCATCAAAACATATCCGCTGTCTCGGCTTAATGACCTTGTGGCCGAGTACCACAGTGGAGGAGGCGGGAAGCTGGTGATAGATATGACGATGGCAGACAGCTAAGGTCGTTGGGGAGCATTAACGTTGAAGCTCATGTTGTCCGACCATTCGAAAGCGAGTAATTGAATGTAGCTGATAGCAGTAAGACGCAGTGACTCTCAGAACATTATGTACTTCTCCTACGAATCTTGGCCTCCGCTTTACTTGAAGAACTCCTTCTTGGCACCTAATTCCCGCGGCTTCTCCCCATTCTCAGCCATCTCCTCCAATACCTTCTCCGCCGTCTTCATAGCCTCAACACCTGCCGGCACACCGCAGTAGATAGTACAGTGAATGATAGCCTCTCTGATCTCCTCCTCCGTCAGCCCATTGTTCCTGGCACCGCGAACGTGCACGGCCAGCTCTGGTGTGCGGTTCAGCGCCATCAGCATGCCAATGTTGAGCAGACTACGCTGCTCCTTCTCAAGTCCGGGGCGGCCCCAGGCGTAGCCCCAGCACCACTCTGTAACGAGCTCCTGTCCTGGGGCTGAGAACTCGGTTGAACCGTTGGCTAGTGCGCGGTCGACGTAGGCGCTGCCGACCACTTCGCGGCGGGTCTTGAGACCTTGCTCGAATAGGGCCTTGTGAATATCGGTGGACTTGGCTTCGGTGCTGCTCATGGTGTCTGAGCTTAATATTGGATGCGAATGGTATGCCTTGTATTGCTGTCAGCCGAGGAGCACCAGCAGTAAGGGATTGAGCAGCTGACCGAGGAATACGTTAAGGGGTGAACTGAAGTGATGCTGTATTGCATAAAGACATGGGAATTATTTATTGAACTTCAAGAAGATAGCCAGTATCGGTTGATAATTACACTTGTTGGTGGATGGGTGAGGGGTAATAATGTGGGCAGTCCGTAGCATAATCATTCTCAGCTCTTCCCCATTTGTTCAGCTTTCATGTGGGGGAACGATGGCATCCGAACGGGATACCAATGATCACTTGTAGCTGTTCAATCGCCTTGAGTGTCCCTCAGGACCTGCATATCCTCCTATACAACATTTTTGGCAAAGTAATGCTTGAAGGAATAATTCCAATACGTGATCTTGGCCCTCACGGATCATTTTGCTATCTATGAAGTCGACTTATACAGCATATAGCTCTGAAATAATGGGTGCAGATAGATGGACTGTATGCAAACCCAACAACGTAGCGATCTCCATCACCCCCATGATCTCATGCGGCGTGGCACCGTATCCCAAAGCATTCTTTATGTGCAGCTTCAACCCTGGCACATAAAGATGTGTAGCGGCGGTATCGAAAGCACAATACACAAGCTCCTTCATCTGAAATTGGCGTAAGCTTCTTTTCAGTCAGAGAAGCATGGATCTTGAACTTACCTTGGGGCTCAAAGCTCCTCGTGGCGGGTCATCACCCTTGCCAACATCCTTGATCCACGGAGCGCCAGAGAACTCCAAGTATGCCTCGAAGAACTCCGGGTCGAGTCTCAGGAAGTCATCCCAGAAGGTATGCCAATAGCCTCTGCGCTTTGCGAATTGCTCCTTGAGCTCATTCTGCTTATCATCAAAGTCTCTTGTGATCAAGTCCCCGAACTTGCCCTCCTCCTTGAGGACCTCTACTAGGACAGGTATACCAATGTTGCAGGCATGTATTCCAACCGTGGAGGATAACTCAATCACCTCCAGAACTTCATAAACCGTGGCTCCCTCTTTGATGGCCGCCTTGACGTGGGTGCGGATGCCCGGCTCGTAGAGATGGATGGCGTTGGCGGAGACGGCGAGGCCGATGAGAGCCTGCTCCTTCGCTGTGAGATGTATCTTCCTTCGAGGGACAGAGCTGAGAGACAGACTGGTTTTGAAAAATGTGGGGTCCAGTCTGAGGATTGACTCCCATCCTTCGTGTAAGGTGTCCTCGCCCATTAAGGCGATGAACTCTTTCCGCAGCTCTTCCCTACTGTGAGTCATTGTCACTTGTTGACAAATTTGTTCTTGGGATGGGATGGCCTGATATGACCAGGCTCTCCATCAATCAGTATGCCTGAGCTGCTGCCTGTTTATAGACGGACTTGGCCACAAGCACAATGTGGGGGATGGGCTCAGCCAATTTGACGACCAGCAAATACCACTGAGCTGATAGTTTGGATTGACTTGAGGTTACGCCGTCCAACGGGACCCCGGTTGAATGGAGGGAGAAAAGGAAGCAATAGCAAGAGTGGACATATCTATAACTAACTATTGCCAAAGGCAAACAAAATAGCCTCTTCACAAAGACTTTGCCTTACATAATTTCAATTCGGGATGCTGTTTCGGCAAGCGCCAATCCCCTCAAGAAGCACCAAAGAACCGGCTCGAATTCCTCTCGTTATTTTCCCACTCTACATCATGTGCCAAAATAACTTCAACACCCAGCTCCTCCAGTATGCGAATGCTCTCAATTGTTGCTTCCGCCGCCTTCCGATCCGCGTGAATGCAGCAGGTATACCCATGCGCGTCTAGCCATTCTCCAATTTCCTTTTCATTACGAAGAATTCTGCGATCATGGCACGCATCTCCTGCCAGATATACCCAATTCTCACGACCGTCCTGCTCCCTTGTGCGGGCGAGAAGATTGATGTGGCCTGGAAGATGGCCAGGTGCGTCGACAATGTACAGGCTTCCGTCTTGAAATAGGTCCACTGTGCTCTTTAAATGGCCAAACGGCTTCCAGGATCCATCTATCATGCCTTTTGACTTGAACTGCTCAGTCTTGTCAACATTTTTCTGCTTTGGATCCGATAGTTGAATGGTCCGAGCCGGGTCAAGGAGATCACTCTCAAAGAAGGAGTGCCCACCTCGCAGCGCCAATGAAGTGCCTTCGAGAAGGTCCAATGACCCATTTCCAACAATGAATGTGCTTTTTGGAAAGTCGCGAGGTTCTCCAATATGATCCCAATGAACCTAGCCTTGAGTCAGAAACCTCGTACTGACTATTAGTCAGCTACGCAAGAACATACATGAGAGTACATGACATAATCAATGTCATCTGGTGTAAGCCCTCCTCTTTTCAAACTCTTTACTACATCTGGCTCGGTAGTCATAGGCTGTCGCGTTTTGGTATGCTTTTGGATCGGCTCAGCGTATCGATTGACATCCCTCCGTAGCCCAAGATCGAAAACCATTCGTGTCGTCTTGTTCGTGACCATAGATTGATGCTGTATGAGGAAGCATAGCGAGGGAACCATTTTCCGGGCACCATCTTCACATGGACTGATAAATTGATATTCAGGAAGCGTAAAGTGGCCGGCTGATAGGGCATGAAGCTCAACAGTCGCGCTTGGCTTGGTCATCTCAGTGAATGGTGAGGTGGACATTGAAACAGAAGCTCTTACACGATACAGCTGATTATGTTAAGTTCGAAGTTGGAATTTGCTGTGGATGCAATTTACAGTCCTTGACTATGGATGATGTAAAGGTTAGTACCAATGCAAATCCTGTGGATGTGGATATCCTCCACATAGAAGTCGATTGAAGTCCAGAAGTTCTCCCCACACTGTTCAATTCAACCTAGGATGTATACTACAGACCCAGAATTTCTAAGATCACCAACACCTATCGGCTTGCCTTGTCTTTTATGTCACAACGCAGGACATGGCAAACTCGATACCTGAGCCAGCAATCTACCCTATACAGGTTGCAAGTAAAGGCAGACAAATAGAAAAGAGATCCAAGTCTCCAATCTTGTCGTTAGAATTGGTCAAGATCTTTACCGCCATTCTCAATAAACAGCTTATAAATTGACCTGAAGTCCTTGCCTTTGCACTTGGGATGTACTGCCGCCTTGGCGTAAAAGTCAGAAACCAGATTCCCCAAAACTGTTTTGGATCCAACTTTATCAGCATGATCCAGTGCCATATCCAAAACACCTTTGGCCATCTCAGTGATAAACCCGCCCTCAAAGTCCCGCGAGGCAGACGATAGACTAGATACGCCCTTTACAGGATTCTGGTCGCCAGCGTTGTAGCAACCTCCTGTTGATACCCGGAGCACGCTGGCAAGTTTCGTCGGGTCAAGTCCTGAGCGCTCACCCAGTGCCATGACCTCACATGTACCGATCATCGTAATGCAGGAGAGGTAGTTGTTGATTTGTTTCGTGGCGAGACCGGCGCTTGGCCCACCGCAGTGGAAGATATTTTCAGATCTTCCTACAAGGCAGAGAATTGGTTTAATGCGCTGGAATATGGCATCGGACTCGCAGCCGACCATCAATGACAGTGTACCGTTGTTGGCACCTTGTACACCACCAGAGACGGGAGCATCGACGAAGACGCAATTTTCCAGCTTCTTGACCTGGCTAGCTATATGCAGGGAAGTCTCAATGTCGATGGTTGAGCACTCGAAGAACAGCTTCTTCTTGAGATGGCAAGCATCGGCTGATAGAAGGCCTGTTGTAGGGTTTGTCATGACATCGGCTACATGAGTCCCGGCGGGCAGCATAGTGAAGACAACGTCCTAATATAAATTAGCTGCATTGATGGTTTAATTTACGGTTGGACTCACACTCTGCTCAATCACCTCCTTCGGTGTTTGCGCTACTTTTATTGGCGCTTTGCCTGGAGCTTGGCCGAGCCACTGACCTAACCTTTCCTTGCTCAGTTCACAAACACAAAGGGAGTCCGACTCGGCGATTTTGGACCTGATGTTGTTCGCCATGCCCCAGCCCATGACGCCGAGGCCGATGAAGCCATATCTCGTAGAGTTATTGGTGAGTGAGCCCATACTCCAGGAACAGCGTGCGCTCTGAACTATACTGGGTTGATTTTGTTCCCGCAAATCCAGAGAGTGGTAACAAAACATTACAGTTCATTAGCTGAGTGATTATACTAAACTTTCAATATTTATCATTTTCGTTGTAATTACGAATGGTATCTGCCTACAGTCTGCTATTATCTCTGCTACGCATTAACATTGGGAGGTCCTCCACATGCGGCATTTTTACCCCACATGTACATGTTAGCGCTGTTCAACTGTCGAGATCGACACAGTGCACTCCATAAGCGACTCTTCTCCCCGCAAGCCTCTCCCCTCCCCTCCTTGGCTCCCCAGTACTCTACCCGTTACTGTAGTTTTATGTCTGCCCTGCCTTTTTATGTAACTAAACCTCCTTAGTTGGGTTTCACCGGGGTTCGAGCCAACAATTAAATCTGTTCCCTATGGCTTGCATCTACAGTACAATTTACCAAACAGAGCAGCCTACTTCTCGCCCAATAGAATACGCTGGCCCTCGCGAACATTTTCACATAAAGGCTGACCCATCCACTCAGGCTCTGCCTTGGCCAGTGTATCCTCAAACTCAGTGATTTCATCTCCAGAGACGAAAAATGACTTTCCATTAAGGTCTGGCCTTATGATGGGCAGGAAAAGTGCCTTAGCGACACCCAATGGTGTGTTCTTCGGCAATGTCCAGCTAGCAAGCCAGTCCGCAAGCAGCATGGGGGTAACTAATAGTACGGATCAGTATACTGACCTCTAAAGATCTCTTTTTCCTGAGCTTTGTATGTTGAAAGATCGCGACGTACCTGTGAGCCAAGGAGCTACCGTGTTAATCGTGACATTCCTCTTGAGAGTTTCGGAGCGTAGCGCGCGCATCAACCCGACCACTCCGGCTTTTGCGGTGCAGTACGTGTAAATCGGAGGAGCAGGGAAGAATGCCCCGGCAGAAGACGTCAAGACTAGTTGACACCGCGTTTCTGGCCATTTGGAGAAGTAATGAAGTGCAATTTTGGTGACATAAAGCTGTCCAACCAGATTGACGTCGATAGACTTGAGAGATGGTGGTTTAAGACGACCAGTCTGTGCCTCTGTTACGTCCTCGAGCAGATCCTCATTTGTGTTAATACCAGCATTGGATAGAACGCTGTGGATCACTCCGAACTTGTTGTAGCCAGCTTCGAATAGATCCAAGATGTTATCCCAGTTCGACACATCGCAGCTCCTGAAAAGTATGCGCTCTCCTAGTGTATCCGTGAGGGAAGTTCCCTCCTTCTCGTTCCAGTCGCCAAGGATGACATTCGCCCCCTGTTCTATACAATGAATCAGTTCTGAATTGGTCCATGATTAATCAGTCTTATGCCTAGAGTACCTACCGACAGCCGCTTCCAGAGCAGCTCGTCCTATACCTGTCGTGCCTCCAATGATAACAATGGTCATGCCCTTTAGAACAGCGAGGTCGCCGTCATTAACGAGGTATGTGGTCATTGGATATAAGTTGGAAACGATTTCATAGAGTTACCTGGGAAGGAATGATTAGGTGTTTATATATCAGAGCCAGATAAAAGGGACCAGGCCATGTCTGAATACTAATACGAGTTTTTGTACCGTGGAGCATATTCCGTCCCACATTGAGCACAGAAATCCGGGGTAATGCGGAGAAAGGCGGGGAGTCTATGAGACTATACCATCAATGGGTTAGTTAGGGCATCCAGTCACTGGCCAACTGCGCACGAGGATGACCAAGGTCCGGGGCTTCGGACTACTACTGGTTATAGCAATCTGGCCCACATAGAATGGCTCGCAACATCATGGCGGTAACCCGAGAACTGGACCCCTCACTCCCACCTGCCAACCTTCCCCTCGACAATTCATCACCATCGAACATTTTCTGGTCGCAGTGGTATCGGAATCATGGCTCCAATTGTTTGCCAAACCTGCGACCGGAGTTTCTCCAAGCTAGAACATTTAAAGCGTCATGAGCGTTCACGTCTGTGCCCGCACGCCGCAGCTGCTTGTACAGTGCTAATATACCCGTAGACACAAAGGTGCGGCCTCATCAGTGCCATATTTGCAAGAAGTCATACGCCCGAAGGTAAGAAGAAGTACCGCACCCATGGGATGCATATAGCCAGCTCACCCCACAGCGATGTCCTGTATCGTCATTACAAGAACCATGGTCCAGAAGCTATGAAGCTGTCAGAAAGATCCAAGGCGAAGAAGGGACATAAGCAAATCAGTTCGCCGGAAGGGCCATTGCAAGATCAGCACGTCGATAATGCTAGCCTGGACGGAAGCTCGAGTTCCCACAGAAGCCCAAACGGATCGCAAGGATTACAAGAAGGACTCTCCGAGTGGAATATCATCGTCGCTACTACTGTTCAACAGCCATCGCCAGATGTGTCGAACAACTCAACTGGATCTTGGTCGCATCATGAGTCCAACGCTGGCGTTCCAGCCGATAACCCCGGTCATGTCACGCCGGATGACCAGGCAGGTCCAGAGTCTGAGGATAATCCTCCTGCCACGGCCATGCAGACTCATCTCACAAATCCGGAGCAGGCGCTGATTAGCTCACACGTCGTAAGCAATGGAGTGTGTGCCCCATTGGAAATTGCGATGACAATACCTCCCCAACGAGGACCTTTGTTGACAGGCAGCACAATCCCACAGACTATGGGCGAATTGCACTACCCCTTCTCACAAGCTGAGGAAACGGGTACGCCGATGGTCCTAGATGGAGGGAGTCCTTTCACCCTGCCTCAAGAGGATTGGTGGCTTTCCTTTGGCGATTTCGATATGTCGACAGTTCCCAATGTCACAACGCTGGATGCACGAGAAGTGATTGTGGACGGTAACGGCAATAGAATCTCTCCCTTTCCTCCAGCTGATGATGAAGTTCACTCAGGTAAAAACAGCCATGATGATCCTACGACTCCATTGAGCAAGCAGCTTCCACGATTGCAGCACGTGTGGGCTCGGCGGTCAAGTGAAGCATCAAAACCCATGGCGAACCTGTGGCATGCCTTGTCTACAGGGAAGGGTTTATTCGGTAATCTTGAAGATAGTCCCATCAGTAACTCTAACAACAAAGTGAGACGGTATCGCACCTTGGACAGCGAAACGAGGCACCAGGTGTGCGATGTATTCCAGTCCATGCTGATATCAACCACTGGCGATGTGTCTGTGTCTTTGCCTGCACCTGAGTCGGTAGAAATTGCTTACGAGCACTACTGGATACATCAACACAATGTTGTGCCAGTGATTCACGCTCCAACATTTCAAGCGGAAAAGGCCCCTTTGGACCTGGTGGTGACCATGTGTACGATTGGTTTCAGTGTTATGGGGACTCCAGAGCTCAATCGTCTGGTTGACAGAGCATACCCAGTAAGCGCCTTCACTGTTCGAACTATCTGTTTATGTCTAACTTGGTTTCCATCAGAGTCTTCTGAAGCGGATATCAGAGCTCCTACAAACATTGGAAAACAACGAGAACATGAAATTGACAGATCGACTTGAGACGATGATAACTGTTTTACTTACACTGAACCTTGGTGCAATCAATAGCGTGAGTGCGCCTTTGGTGAACAGAAAGAAACCCAAACTGACGGCTTTAAGAATCGAGACGGTTTTACAGATACCGAGCCTATGTACGCTACGCTACATTCTAGGCTACTGAATGTAAGTAAGGTCGTGGCCAAGGACCAAGATGTGTGTTAACCAAAGCTTCAGAGAGCGCAAAAGGATGGTTTATTCGCGGCAGACAAGCTTCCTCCTTCTTTAACAGCACTGATATCACTCCCCACAGAAGGCAAACGCTGGAGAGTCTGGGGAAGCGTGGAGTCCGTCAAGCGGTAATACAAAATCCTTAGTGCCCAATAGACCGTCAGCTGAACCAACCTCTAGCCTCATATTAAACCTTCTGCAACTCGACTGCTGGTTTACAGTATTTTTCGCCACGGAGCCAACATTGCAAATAGACGCAGTCTACGTCATGCCCGTATGCGACAGTGAACTCTTCGAAGCTGGCATCTTGGAAAGATGGTGCCAGATGCGACCCGACTTTCATCAAATGGCCTACCCCGTTGTATCAGCGAGCTACTCTAAAACACCCGGAGTCGCTAGAAGTTACGATATGATGTACACACTACTCATGATACTCCAGCTACGCTTTTCTGCTGCGTCATTAGTCGTTGAACGAGCCACGCAACATGGCGATGCCCCGCCATCTTCACCTCCCTGGAAGGTCTTTGGTCGTGATATCCGCACAAAATGCTTAGTTGGCTTGACTGTTGACTTAGTCAGGGCGGCTATACCGAAAGACCGTAACTTCGAGATGAACTCGGCTGTATCATGGCATGCATTGTGTTTATCTCTTACTGCCAACATCCGATTGCTTGAAACGGCCGCCGGGCGCTCCGGCCCCGAAGCGGCTTCCCAAGCTATGAAAGAGGTATCAGTGTGGGCACAGACGCCCACAGCGCGACGAGCTGCTTTACATGCAGCGCATATCTTTTACCTACTTTTTAAGCGCCGTTTTAGCGATCCAGTTAAGCTGCACACCATTATTAGTCTTTTCCAAGCCGCCCTTGTCTTAGGGTTTTACATATGCGCTCGAAAACACCCAGACACTCCCCAAGTCTTCCACGTCTACGATACTATCAATTGGGCGGACCTCGGTGTTTTTGGGCTGACTGATGAGGCTCCGGACTTACCGCCTGAGATTATGCAACTCCCCGAGGCTCAGTACATTGTACAGGAACAGACTATTGCTTTTGGAAACTTTATTATCACGTCTGGGATAACAGAGGCACGTAAATGCTGGCTACAGTTTGCGTCGCTGATGATAGGACTGGGTAGGTGGAAATCGCGTACATTTTCACGCATTCTCCACGTTATGTGTGATAACCTGTCGGAGGGAGAGTCAGCAGCAGATGGCAACAATGGTGAAAAGCCCTGATGAGAAGGTGTAGTTTGCATATGTACTTAATACTGTTTGAAACAAGCCTGGAGGATATGAAACCCCCACGAACTGTGCTTTTTCCTTATGCTACATGCTTTGAGTGCCTTTCAATCCAACCTCTCTTACACCTTTACTGGCTTACGGAAGTTCTGTGTGATATCATGAGCAAGACTCATAGAAGCCTGATGTCAAGTTAGCCGCAATAACATTTAGTATCAGCTCTCGGGAAAGGCAAACCTCGCGCAATTGGTTCATAAGGTTCTCATCCTTGTTGGCCTTTTCAATAAGTTTAAAGAACTCATCTTTGGCAAATGTCTCCTCGGGTTCCTTCTCCCAAAGGCGCTTGAAGTTCGCCGTGGACATTGGATCCACAATGTTCTCGTACTTCTCACGACGAACGCGACTGTACTCGTCAAGAATGCTGTCATCAGTAAGACCCTTGTTCAAGCCATCCAGCGCATCACAGAGACAGCCCACGTCAGCGATACCGCCAACCAATCCAAGACCACCACTGCTGAAGTTAGAGGCTGATTTTATGATATAGGACGGCTTACGAACAATGGATTGCAAATATGTGCGGCATCCGCAGCGAGCAGAAATCTGCCTACACGCAGTTTCTTGGCCAGACGCTGGTGCATCTTGTACGGGCCAATATTCTCAATCTTATATTCTGAAGGCTCAGGAGTACCGGGAAGCATCTGTTTGTAACGCATGGGAAGACGTTTTTCATAATCTTCCTTGGTCAGACCTGGAATGTCGCCGTAGGTAACGCGCCACAACCCGTCATTGGTGATCTTGGCTGCCATGTACCAATCGGTAGGGTGGACAATAAAGTTGCTGTCGTCGTATCCAAATTTCTCAAAGGGATAATAAGCCTAGTAGACCGGTCAGTCCGACTGTCACGTTTACTTGTGCGCGTGAACGACTTAGATGGTTGCCACTTACATTGCTAGCAATAATCTGTTGGTTCCAGGTCCAGCCAGGAAAGTCCAGGTCGCCGAAAAGGGAACGTCTGATCTGGCTGTTCCCTCCGTCGCAGCCTACAATGTAGTCGGCCTCGAAGCGCTTGACATCGCCGTCGGCATCGACGTCGACCCACGCCTTGTCATCTGTCTGGCCAATCTGAGGAAGCACTCTGTGCTTGAATAGAACCCCAACTCCAGCAGAGATGGCCTCGTCGTATAGAATTTCGCAAACACGACCCAGCGGTAGAACCACCATACGATGGACACTTGATTTAGGGATGGATTTCTGGTCGATGCCGACTACGGCGCGTCCATCTTTGTATCGCCACGTTACGCCGCCGGGGTGGAATCCCTCGGCTTGAATCTTGTCCAATACGCCAGCACGCTCCAGCTCATATTTTCCCGGTCCGCCGTAGTGGCATGCACGTGGTTGTGCGTCGAGTTGTTCAGCTGCCTCGAGGATCTGACTGGTGATGCCGCGCTTCTGTAAGAGAATGCTCAGGATGAGACCTGAGGGTCCTGCCCCAACAATAATAACCTATCGACAAGCCAGTCAGCATCAGGCCTCACTCATCCATGCTCATCCTTCCAATATATAGTCTATCATTCCGCAGAACTACAGCTGAGGGGCTGTTTCGCACCTTCATTGTAAAGATCTGAGTGAAGTAGGTGGTCCCAAAGGTGTAAGATAAATAATCACGGAAACAGATATCGGGATTTCAAATGGTGTATAGGAAAAGAAAAGTGCCGTTCTTATCAGACTTGCTCACTGGTGGGGTTGACTCACTTAGGGTAAACGGACAAAAAGTTATCTCAGTGTTAGAACTTCTTTGCTTTAATAAACTCGATCGAGCTTCCACTATCGTTCCCGAAAAGGAAAAGGGCAATCCACCTCCAGTCCACCCGCCGTATTCACCTTCGCAACTTGAGATCAAGCTAACTAACTACCTTCAGGTGTTTATGCCTACCCTAAAGCCATACTCACGCACGCATGATAGGGACGCAACCAATAAGCTCTCCCTGTAAAATTGAGTGTGGGGAAAGTCTGTGCTTTACCCCAGGACTTCAGTTGTAAAAGTGTACGGAGTGACTGGTCTCAGCTGTTCGTAGCGCCATGTCATATCCCCGCCACAAAATTGATGTGGAGAGAGTTGACCCATCATTTCATTAGTCTGGCTATTACTGCTCTGGGACCCCCCCTCCCCCACATTCTTGAGTCCCAGCGTGCACCCCATCTGCCCATCGTGATAAGTGCTGTAGCAATCGTATTTGCCCCTTACAGCCTCAGTCACATGATGGACAACACCCCATTATAGGAAGGGACTCTTATGGATAATTTAACAATTCCCATATGAATATACCATTAGTTCTAAACAAACCCCAATGAGAGTCTGTATCTTTAACAAATAAATGCATTGTCCTGTTGTCAGACATGGTCTTCGTTTGTAAGCCATTCGAGAAATCAATACTACTTATACCTTCTTCGGATTCGCTAAGCGCCGGTTTAAACTGAACATGCTGGCGAATCTGACCATCAGAGCCTCTCAGTTCGATGCTCAAAACATATTTGACATCGCTTCAAGCATCACCTTTGACCGTGTTCGCCGCTTCTGCAGCTTCTTTGCATTGATCGCCGTAATTGCCCTGCTGAAAGAATGGGCTAGAGTCCTTAACATGCGCCGGAAACTGCCTCCAGGACCCTTTCCTTTCCCAATTATCGGAAACCATTTCCAGACGCCGGCCGTCAGACCTTGGATTGCATGGGAGAAGTGGGGAAAATACTACAATAGCCCTTTAATGACGATTTGGATTGGTGGCTATCCTCGAATCATCATGTCGGATGCTTGGGTTGCTTCTGACCTTCTTGAGAAGAAGTCGGATGTCTTCTCTTCTCGACCGAAGCTCATCATGATGGGCGATTTGATCAATACAACCACCACGAATCAGACTATGCTTGAGTATGGAAATCGTTGGAGATTGCACCGTAAGCTCATGGTAAGTCGTCGGAGGTTAGATCCTTCTGCGAACCGGGCTAATTACCCTCTAGCATACTGCCGTTGGCACGCAGGCAGTGCGTGGTTACCGCTCTTACCAGGCCGATGAGTCCAAGATTCTTACCAGAGACTTCCTAGAGATTCCGCACGATTATGAAATGTCAATCGAGCGCTACTCAGTCTCCACCAGCTCGATTGTCGGCTGGGGCAGAAGAATCGACAAGAACAACGACTATGTTGCTGTCCAGGCTCTGAAATTCATGGAGAGCGTCAATCTTGTGGTTCCCGGTGCTTTCATCATGGAAGCTCTGCCATGGCTACAGAAGCTCCCCTCTTGGCTCTACAAATTTCCCCATGCTCTCAGGCTCGGTTCCGCTATTGGGGCGCGCTACTTCTACATGCTTACAGAAGAGAGCATGGGTAATAAGCAAAAGGCTTTTAATTCGACCGTGATGAAGGCTCAAAAGGATCATAGCATGACTGACCTTGAGGTTGCTGGTTTAATGGCCAGCGTGATCGGTGGTGGCGTTGACACCACATCTAGCACCATGGTGAGCTGCATTCTGGCCATGTGTGCGTTCCCCGAGGTTCAGAAGAAGGCACAAGAGGAGTTGGATCATGTCGTTGGACACGACAGGTCTCCCGACTGGAGTGACATTGATGGTAACAAACTGCCCTACATCACCGCTATTGTCAAGGAAACTCTTCGCTGGAGAACTGTCACCGTCTTGGCTGGTATTCCTCACGCCAACACCGTTGACATCGACTACCGCGGTTATCATTTCCCAGCTGGCACGAACTTCACTGGAAATATGTGGGCTATTCACCGGAACCCTGTTGATTTCCCGGACCCGGACAACTTTATACCTGAGCGATTCCTTGATGGGCCCTGGAAGAAACCATACCCTAATGCAAGAGGTAGCAATCCCTTCGGGTGGGGGCGCCGCCAGTGCAGTGGCCAGCCTCTTGCCGAACAGGGTCTTTTTTACTCGCTAGGTCGCATCATTTGGGCATTCCACATTGAACCTGGTCTAAATAAGGACGTAAGTCTACCATATACGCTGGCCCTTGGGAGTATAAGTAAAGCTAACAAGGAAGCAGGGCTCGGTGCACAATCCTGACATCTTTGCATTCACTGAGAACGAGAATATGCGTCCGATGCCGTTCCCTGCCCGTTTTACCCCCCGGTCTGAGAAAATCAAGAATATTATCTCAGAGGAAGCAGCCATTGCCAGGGAGGCCCTACGCTGTTATGACGGGGAAACTAAGCTCACTATGGCGGACGCCGTTAGCCGTCCTGCCTTTGAGTAGGGTGCTCAGAACGTATACCCAACTCCGGTTCACGCATATTCACTCAAACAGATCAAGGAGTGGATCCTAAGATATCTCCCTTGTGAATTTCAGGGTTGTCTCAATATTTTGTAATGCCATCAAAGCCATGATAATATGCCATGTTGGGAATAAATTGGCGTCTTGCACCATGTGCACGTTGGCAGAATTATCGCTTCTCTATCGTGTGATAGGGAACACTTGCGTCTTGGTTATTTGAGGACAACCTTTATCGCCGATTGGTGATAGTACCAACAATTAATCTCGTATCTGCCCTTATTTGATGTAGTTCGTAAATCTATTTGCAAAGGGGTCTGACGTGGGGTAAGAATCTACTGTACGAAGCATCCATGTGGAGGGAGTGGAGGCAATCTGGGGTAGATCCTTCATTGAATCTTAGCGGCTTCATTACTAAACTCGCTATGATCTTCTACCAAGTCGTTGGGTTATAGCACCAACCACCCAGGGACAACGTTATGTAAAGCTCCACTCAGTCTGATGCATAAAAGAGTCGATATAGTCAGGTCACTCTTTTCTCGCCGTATTGATTGAGACTAGATTACGCTGGCTAAGAACATTAATCAAGCTAACTGAGATGGCAGAGGTAGTCCAAGTCTTCCAACTACAGCACCCACTGCTGGGCTGCATCAACGGTACTGATGGTGATGTCGTGGCATTCCGTGGTATCCAATATGCCACTCTGGAAAATAGACTGGCAGAAGCGGTCATCAAAGATAGCTATCCCAAAACAATTGATGCGACAAAATACGGGTAAGGTATACGGATATCACGTTGAAAGATGCGAAGCTAATCAACCAGCAGCCCAATATCGCCGAATCCTCCAGGCTCATTCCAACTCGAAATGAAACTCATGCAGCAGACCCAGCCTGATCCAGACTACTTGACAAGCTCTGACATAGAAGCGTTGAATCTCAACATCTGGATTCCCAAGGGCCGAGAGGGACAGCTTCTACAAAACTTGCCTGTGTACGTCTTCATCCATGGCGGTGGTTTCATCAGTGGTTCTGGGAATAGCCCACACTATGATCTCACGCGGCTTGTTAAACTCTCGGCGGCAAAGGGAACACCGATTATTGGTGTCACAGTCAAGTATGCAGAAATTTGCAGCACGTACATCGGATTGCATGAACTGACGAGGATCTCACAGCTACAGGTTGGGCTTACTTGGCCTGCTTACTTCTCAAGAGCTGCGAGATGCTGATTTTAAGGCAAATAACCAGCTACGGGATCAGCGGGCCGCTTTTCAATGGCTTAAGAAATACATAGAGGGCTTTGGAGGTGACCCAGAGAATATAACTGCCTCCGGCGAAAGCACTGGTGGAGGTATGCAACAGTCAGCCATTCGAGATTCATAAATAACGTTTCTTCTGCACAGTTTGCACCGGCCTGCATTTACTTTCGCAGGAGTCATTGTTCAATAGAGCCTACTTGACAGGCGGGTCGCCTCTTCTGATGCAAGTAGCTGGGCTGGAGGAACATGAGAATCATTACCGGCAGGTTATTGAAGCTTTGGGATTGGCTGCTGCAACCCCCGAAGAACGAATATTTGCCCTGCTTGGGACACCATATGACGAGCTGTTTACCAGAGTACCTATGAACATTGCCTACCGCCCAATGCTTGATGGAGACGTGGTCCCATTTGCGATGAACCATGGCAATGTACAAGACAAGGAATCCAAGATTCCGGGTCGACGGTGGTTAAACGGCCTGGTTATTGGTGATTGCCAATTCGATGTAGGTTGATCTGGGCCTAAGTCATCAATTACTAACCTCCGTATATAGGCATCTAGTCTGGCGATTCTTGCAGGGTTCAAGAAAAGCAATATTGCGAAGAAATTCCCTGATATCATGAGGGCTAGGCTCGGCGACAGCGCCACCACAGAGCGCCTGCTTGCAGCCTATGATGCCGACGCTTCCAACGACGACGAGACTGTCTTCACAGGCTTTTTGCGGTTCTCAACCGATATTGGATACTACGCAGCGACCTGTTCCTTCGCGCAGGGCTGGGCTCCCATAACGCACACATTCGCATTCAACGAGCCAAATCCCTGGTCGGGCATGTTCCAAGGACATGCGACCCATGTATTCGACATAGCTATGCTATTCCAGAACTTCCAGACAGACCTACCAGCGGCCCAGGTCGAAGCCGGGAGGCAGATGGCCGCTGACCTCTTTCTTTTTGTCCATGGAAGGCCACCCTGGGTCACAGCTGGTAAAGGCACTATGGTGTACGGACCAAGCGTAGTTGGACCTGTGCGCAATGTGGTTTCCGGTAGACTGCCTGAGGAGGCTGGTCGTCGACGTGCTATCATTGATGCTAGTGATGCGATTACCGTAGACGAGATTGCGGCTGCTCATGCGGCGTTTATGGCTAGTGCATAGAGCAGCATAAACATGCTGAGACAATGATTTGGAGAACATCGGTAGAGATCTTAATCTTGTGTACATAGTGACAACTCAAATGCCAAAGTGCCAGAGTATTTCGTACATAAACTAAGCTTTATTGACCAAACTCGGCTTCAATCATCAATTGACGACGATTAGTCTTTCTGACCTGCTCAAATGTTTTGGCCAGCTGTTCAAGTATATCCCCCATTCGAGGCGTGATGCCCCAGAACCAAGCCTGACAAAGTCACCGTTAGCATCAAAACCCTGAGGCTTGAATCCTGCAGCACTTACGCCTTTTAGGTACCAGCTCCATGTTCTCGCCACACCAGCAGCTACAGAAATGCTCTCTGTCAGATCATATTCAGCATCGACGAGAAGTTCCTTGACGTTGTTAAACAGCTTTAGCTCCTTTGGGTGGATGGGAGTATTTCTGACTAAGTCCATCTCAACATGATGGGTCCATTTCGTTACGAGAAGTGCTTTTCGGCCACGGCAGTGTTAGTAGCAGTGAGTCGGATCAAAAGCAACAGTGAATGGCGTGAGTTCTAGGTTACGTACCGCACTCAAATCCTGCAATAGCATGTTCAACACCTAGTTTAAAGGAGGTTTTTTTGCCCACCAAAAGGTGTCCAACGTCTGGTGGAAGCTTCAGACTGTCTAAGCACTCAGCAGTGACCTCTGAGAGACTTCGGTTTCGTTCCAGGTTCCCCATAACATAAGGCGTGGCACAAGCAAACAAGTCGCTCTGCACTGAGTCCGTAAAACTGAGATACAATGACGCACTCAGTGGTCGGTATAGTCTCGCGTATGCAATGCATAGAATAGCATTATGATCAAAAGGCGGGCAGAGCTCGGTAGTCTGGGCCTCTGTCCTCGATTGCTTGGCTCGATCCTTGTGTAGGAACAAACGACATCTCGCAAGCGATTCCAAGGTTCTATTCCAGAGTGCTGCACTGAGTGAGTCACCGTTACTTACACCATCGAAAGACCTCCACGGTTCACAGACTGCTTCCGAGATTTGAAATCGCTGCCATATATGCACAATAACAGCATGCATAAGCACGTAAGCCGAGAATAAAGAGACACTGTATTCTCCAGAAGCCCTGGGCTGCGGCATCATGATATCGGCGAGGATATCTCTCAAGGTGCGGTTTCCAAGTCGCTTCCGCTCTTCGGCGTTGCCTGAACAGTGCTTACGCCACTCCTCTGGTGACGAGGATGACCATTCATCTTCGTTTGCAATGGGTTGCATCTGAAAATCCCTCGCCATGCCAATGACAGGACTCACATCGTATAGCACCATCGCTAACGTACTCAAGATGAAGCTTGCCCCTAGAGCACGTCGCCAGGCCTCGTGCTCGACCCATTCTGGCCAGGACATGGCATCCATCTCGGCTTGTTGCGTTGAAGTATAATCCAAAGCATATCTATGCGCCTTTTTATGGAAAGAAAAAAGTTAGACATGTGTGTGAAATTTGCCATAACCTGATGATGATTTAATGCAAGAACTCACGATGATATAAAACCCGTTGCTCTGCAGCGTCTCAGACACAAGTTGAGCATCGCCGCTCATGATAGAGAAGAAACTCAGGAGTAGCTTCGTCTGCATATACCAAAGTGGCATCCTAGCAGTATTTCTGGGACTTTGCTGACTTTGACTTGCTGGGCTTTGGCGTTCATCGTCTGAGATATAGGATATCTGTAGGCCGTTGTCATCAATTAGGGACAAGTCAAGTTCTTCATAAAGCAGGTCCAGGAGGAGGGAGAGCTAATGCTTCTATAGAGGTGAGTACATACATCTTTTGCAGCACGTAATGCCAGATTATAAATGCGCCGAGCTCGGGAATGATCCTTACTGCACAGAGCCCCAATGCTGCAAATGGCCAGAGTAAGAGGGCTTGGCGTAGAGATGGGATGCCATGTTGCAAGATGTACGATGGGTAGATGATGATTGAAACTAGAAGCATAGCTAGAAAGATATCCCTGGCAGATCGCTACTGGGGGTAGGTCAATATCTGCCTCAGATACGCTAAGCCTCCCTGCCAGGTCACCAAGTAGTACAGCGTAAGCCGAATCATCTAGCCTCGTCCAAGTATAGGAGAGGATTTTCGTTCTCCATAGGTATGGTATATCACGCGCATCAGTTCTTGGGCTTGTTGATGGACCGTTGCAGATTGTCTCTACCGGCTGATTCAAGGGTGCGTGACCAGAAATGGAGGAATCAGCATATAAATTGGGCTGGCAGTATAAGATGGGCTCTGTCTGGAGCACTGTGCTGACGTCGCTGATATGTACGTCCGGGTCATCGTGCACCGAACTCGGAAAGCTTCCATGGCGTGTTCGCGGCTGGTCAGTCTCTAAGAAGGAATGCTGGAACGCTAGGCTACAAGGGCCCCGGGACATAGGCAACGTTTCGTATGAAATGTCGTCCCAGTCAGACTGAATTCTTTGATCGTTTCGTGGCTCATTCATTTGGCAACTAGTGCTGTGCATTAACGGCGACTCCAATTTTCGACTTGACTCCTTAGCCATGGTAGTTTTGTCACCCAAATTTGGAGGTCTTAGTTTAGGAAGCGGATTTGTAGCCTCAAGCATGTCTTCACCTGTGTTAGCTGGTTGTGTGGTGAAACACTGCGCGAGAGTGCCGTGATCATCGTCTGCCCGGCTTACCGTCTCAGGCTGTCGAAGGTTGTGATCCATAGGTTCAATTAACTCAAACATGGGCACAAAGGATTCGGAAAGATGATGCAATGAGCTTTGGGTATTTTTACTGTTGTTGTGCGTGGGGGTCTGAGATATGAGTATAGCCTGGACCGAATTGGCGGCAAGGGGATCAAGTGCGGCTAGCCCGGCTTCGCTCGACTCGGTGAGGAGGTTTTGGGAAGGAGTGGAAGGCAAGACCTCTCCCAGGCTTACGGTTGGATCATGAGATTTTGATGAAGCGGGCGTGTTCTCCGGGTGATAGACAATCATGTCGGGGTCAGGGTCTTGCTGGCTTTCATCCCTCGAATCTTTTCCCAGCAGCCGCTGTTGGCGCAGCTCATGAAGATGGGCGTGGAGTGTCCTCTCATGTCTTGTCACTAAATCTCTGGATCAGCCAAAAGGTTAGTCACCATGTGTAAGAGTTGCTCGATAGGATAGCAATGCAGAACGTACTTTCTCCCGTACGGCTTCTTACAGTAACGGCAGACATAGGGCTTGTCGCGGGTGTGTGTGCGCTCGTGACGGACACAATGCTCGCTCCGTTTGAACTGTCTGCCGCAGTGCTGGCACTCATACTGTTGACGAGGACGGCCCCTCCGGGGAGCAGCCGTGGGAGCGTCAGTCGTGACTGAGGCCAGTGCTGCCGTATCAGAGGTCTTAATGGAAAGCGGCATGCATGCGGTAAAGATCAGTGTTGAGATGTTGATTGGGCTGATGGCTCACAGAAAAGATTTACAGCAATATTCAGCGATTATTCCTGATTGTTTTGCTGATGATGACAACAGTGTGCAGTCAATTCTGGTGAGGCAAATGAATATCTAAATTTGTTGTGACTGGAATCTGGGGAAATTAGCGGCTAAGGATCTGTTGCTCAACACGTCTATTGGGGAAGCGGGGAAACGATTATGCCTCCTCTCGGATTGGCTAGAGCCACTAAAATTCGGGCCGTTTCAGTGGTCTCGATAAAAATTCCCAATCGATACCTTTGTTCCTCCCAGTTTATTTTTGCTGGGTTTGTGTAGGCAACTCAACTTGTACTGAGCTCACGCACTAGATTGTCCATAACAACCTCTATACTTGTATTATGCATTGCGAATTTTCAAAGAAACAATATGGATTCAATCCTCATGTCAGCTGCAACCATGGCTTTGTCCTGTTTAGGCAAACTCCACTTTGAGTTGCAATAGCTTTCGTTATAGGGTGGGTCATAGAAATGCTCAGTTATGGCAAGTTGATTAAGCCATCACCCAGCCCAGAAGAGGTCTCAAAACTTTAATGTCAACCCTGAGCAGAAATAATTGCTTGCTAGATCTTTAGATAATTTGTGGTTTCCTTTGACTAGTTCATTTTTGGACCCTACTATTCCCTCTCTAAAACCGACAGATGCAGACTTGTCTGCTTTCTAATCTCCCTTTGATCATTGGCTAGGATCCTTCTCAAGTCTGAGCATGACAAGAGCATTGTGGTGTCCCCAGTAACGTCTGTAACGCTTACCCCATATGTACATGGGAACAGTGAGGGACATGAGTGCAGCTGTGATACCAGCGAGTGTACCAAAGAGCTCCAGGGGACCACTCATCTGGTACCATGGAATTACGTAAAGAGTTATCCTAAGGCGTGTCAGTCCGACGGAAAACGTGCACATATGGTGACCTACCCGTAGAAGAAGAAGTTTTTAAACGTGACGTTAAAGATAAAGTTCTCCACAGCCAAAGACGGCATCGCATCAAGAGCGTAGGCGGAGGTGACGCTGGCAACAATACACATACCAAAGAGAGTGAGGCCCCAGAGAAAGGATAAAACATAGACAGATAGCCCCTTTTCAATGACGGCACCAAATCCCACAAGACCGGCAACAGTGCAGATAGTACCAGGAATAGCCAGGATCAAACGGAACTCAGGCTCATAGATACCCTTGTTACGCCTGGTCATGAACTTGATCCATGGGTCACTGATCCAAGACATAAGGCTACTCGCGAGAAGTCCACCGATGAATGGACCAGTCGAGACGTATCCTATAGAAGCAGATGTCAAGGTCCATGGAGGACCAGCCAGGAAGACTCCACTAAGAACAGCCATACCAACAAACCAAGCCATGATCAAGCCAGAGATGAATACATTGTAGCTGGTGATGACGTTGAAGACAACAGCAACACTGGCAATACCCATTGAGATGACTGACTTTTCAGTAAATGTACCATTATAAAGTGCCATGTCCTGCAGGAAGGTTTTCTTTGTAGTGATATTCTGGAAACTGGATTCCGCATCATTGTCGACATTGGCTTTCTCAACATGTTCGAGTTGAGCCTGCTCTTGGTTATGCTTCTCCCTAAGATCGACCTGAGAACCAACACGATCAATATTGTAGATAGCGGACCGGTTATAAGTTGTTTCTGGGCAGAAGAGAATGACGAGTATCAACTGGAAACCGAGAAACGCGAGCAGAATGTGAAAGTTGTACTTCCATCCAAGGTTAGTAATGATAACGCCCCCGATGATGCTCACGCCATTGCTTAGCGCGCCAAGTATAAAGATGGGGATAGACACGTAGAAGCCGCGCTCGTGAACGAAGTACAGGTCGCTGATAACTGAAAGACAGAGTGATTCGTATGCTGAAGATCCGAGCCCCTGCAGAACCCGACCGGCGAGGAGTTGATTATAGCCCGGAGCGAATTCAGCGACGAGACAGCCAACTACACCAATGACTGACGATCCAACAAATAGAGGGCGTTTTCCGTACTTGCGTGCAAGAGCAGAGACCAATGGTGATGCAGCTCCCAGAGCGAGAGTGAGATAGCCAGAGAGCTGGGCAATTTTGCCAAAGGATACATGAAGATCGGTTGCAACTTGGACAATGCCGGCATTCAGTATAGGCCCCTAAAGTAGTTGTCAGAAGAGCTCATAATTGGACTGTATCGCTTGAAGAAGCATTAAAATACCCAGGTCATATGAACATACCGGAACAATGCCCACAAACGCAGTACCTAGCATAATAACACCGAAGACCAGGTTGCGCTTCAGGAGAGTCCAGTTCAAGGGATCATTGGGATCATCTGAAGGCTGAGGTACTAGAACGATATGTGAATTCTTGCCGGTATCATGCTTTAGGGAGCGACTTGTTGCCTCGGCGTTATCGCTCGTTGCCTGGTCATCAAGGTTGACAGTGCCGGGGACATGATGGCCGTCCTTTGGATCCAAAACACCGAAAGCCATGGCATATGTAAATACAGAATATGTTATGTGGGCAAAAGGGGGGCAATACTTTAGTGATTTTGTAATGCGGTGTAAGTAGGTAGCCAAGAAGAGGGTCTGTCCATTACTTGTATCCCTTCGTCTACAGAGCATCCAGTTATAATGACCCATGGTGTTTTGCCACTTTCCCCCGCCAGCGGCATCCCAAACTAGACTTCTGTCAGGCTATGACGGTATGTGGACTTGGAGGTAGGTCTGTGGGGTAGAGAATCCGGACCACCCGGTCAGCTATGGCACCCCCCCCCCCCCACATTGGCCTATAGTCTATAGGCAAAAATATTGGGCCATGTGTTGGCCAAGATTTGTTCCCCAGCCTCCAATTCCACTCTAACTGCATGGAATACCTACATACAGAGAATCAATCGAGCCACATCACTGCAATAGAAAGATGAAGTCTGCTGGTGGAGAGTTCGTCTGCACACACTTGCTTCGCAGATGTTGAGTGTGACCAACCACATGTGCGTTCGCACAGGGGTAAGTATTCTCATTCCTAGAACGGTGGCTGGCAATCTCACGACTATCCTCCACCAAACTATTGCTCCTCTCGCTTTCCATGGATACGTAAAAGTGATGCTAATATCATCGATGTGGGACCTGTGTTTATACCAGTGGCTGATCAAGTGGTTGAGTAAATATGGCTTCAAACGCATGCAGGCAGTTCTCAATTAATTGTAATACAGTCTGTAGGATGGGCGCACTTTAATTCTTAAGCATCGTGTGAGAGATTCTCACGTACGGCAATAGGTTAGAACCGAATTGTTTGACGTTGACAAAACGAAAAATGAATAACCTTGGTTCAATTTTGGACGTTCACTGCAGCGATCGATATGAACCCGTATTGCATAAATCAGTATGATTCTTTAGTCTATCTGGGCCGAGAAGAAATAATGGGATAAAGAACAGCCGCAATCAAATACACAGAGAAGCTTTAACTGAAAAAATGCTGTTTTGAATCTACAAATGGCTCCCCTTCTTTGCTTCAAAGGCCTCACGTAGGTGCCGGTAACGACTAGACCAGATGCCCGATTTCCCCGGAGATAGAATACCATTTGGATCAACCGCATCCTGTAAGTGTGTTAACATGGTTTAGAGACGGTATCTCAAACAGTTTTGTTACCTTTATCTTCTCCACAAAACGGTTGTATGCGTAGTTATTGAAGTTACTATGGCCGGCAATCAAATCTACAATTGTCAGCAATCTGTGCAGTTATCGCGATGAATAATACTCGCCCATGTAATTGACGTGAGCGCGGTACATGCCATAGCATCGATCCTTGCTCAACTTGTGAAAGTCGTGGTACAGATCATAGATGGCCTTCCTGTCTCGCGTGTTTTGCTGGTCATACATGAACATGTTGACCATCAGGATATGACGCTCATGCATGAAGAAGTCAATCATCGGTTCTATGCCACGCTTCTCGTAACATTCGTAGCTCTTCTTTATCCACTCTAGAGTCAACTTTCCAGAATTTGGAATGAGAGGGGCGTAGTCTCCGTGGGCACCCTTGCCAGACCCGTCCTTGGGCAAAGCCCATTGTATGGTAGGGAGACTGAATAGAGAGGACTGGCCGGTGAGAAGAAGTGCATTCATCTCCGGAATTGACTTGTTGTCAACGAGCCCCCCGTTGCACCCTGAGAAAATAGTGCCGTTGAGTTTGAGGGCGGGTTGTGTCTTCTCAACCGCTTCCTTTATCTCATCGAATTGAGCTTGGATTACACGCTTGGGGCCCCAAAAACCCCACCTGGCGGTCCAGTACGGTAAGTCCATCTCTTTACAGAGCTCCCTCATTCTCCAAGCTGGGACGGGCCCTGGGCCTTCCCAGAAGTCGACTCTTTTACCACGTGCTGACAAGATCTCCCAACACCCCATAAACCAGACACAGCTGGGGATGAGACCATTCTGGCGCATTGGACCTAACAGATCCACCATCGGTTCGATATGTTGAAACTCATCAGCGCACAAGGTGCATTCCATGAAAGCAGGTGGAGTTGGGGTCATCCACAGACTAAGCTTGGTGACGACTCCCAAGTTGCTTTGGAGAAACAGGCCTTCAATTGAAGGGCCATAGGTGAACTTTGAGATGAAGGCATTGGGGGAGCCATCGATGGAGAATTGGCCAGTACGGACAACGTCACCATCGGCAAGCAAGACTTCAAGGCCAGAAATGGACTGGTGATGATTGAAATGCGTTCCGAAACCCGTACCACGGTCGAGTGTCTCTGATTGTCAGTGATGAATAGCCTTGAGCTTAAGTCAAACTTACATTGCCAGTGACACTGCCCCAGCTTAGCGATGGGGTGCTTGGCCAGACCTTTTTCTTATGCTCTGCACAATAATCAATCAATTGCTTCCAGCTTACACCAGGCTCAACTACGCAATAGGAAAACTCATCGTTGACTTCTAGAATCCTATTCATGCGACGTAGATCCAGGGCTACCGATCCATTGATTCGAGGAGCAGGGCCGCCGTATCTAAGTCAAGTCAGACGTGGACTCATGGTAGCCTATTTCTTAGACTCACCCAAGGTTCTTGCCCCTAGAGAACGTCCAGAGAGGAATATTGAACTGATTGGCAACGTGTAAGATAGCGCGGACCTCCTCGACAGAAGCAGGACTAGAGAAGTATCAGCATTCTAATCACCATCAAAGAGAAGCCTGGTTTGCCTACACAACTGCAGCTCCGGGAACCTTTCTTTTACTCTCATCATCATCCCAGATGTCAAAGGGATCAATGTAATGCGACAAAGCGCCCCCAACAAATACCTGATCTTTCCCAACGACTGCTGCCAAGGCTTCAATGGCCTGGTCGAAAGCTTCCTCAGTCACACCTGGAGGAATGGCACGCTTGATGGGTATATTTGGCGGCGAGAAGGTGTTTTGATGAGCAGCTTCATACTCATCCCAGGGATAAGTATTCTTGGGTGCGGTGGATGTCATTTTGTTAGAATGTGAAGACGTCTTTGCTAGAAGAAGAATAATAATTCACTTAGAGCTTCGTAGAATCAATCTATGTTTTAAAGTTTAACTGTATGCAATATTTATTCTCAGGCCAATGTGGGGAGAATTTGGGGGTGAACTGGGTTGACTTGTTCGCTGTGGCAGCCTGTGGCTTGTTCTCATAGCAGGACCAAGACGTCTAGAGGCCTGGTAAATTTAGGTCACCTGTACCCCGCAACATCCGGGCTACAAGTCTCTCCACACTAAACGATCGCCATAATCCCTTACGATTTCACGAGGTGCTGACACACTATAGGTACTCCGTAGCGTACTTAACGGGACTTTTCGCATGCAACTGGTGACTATCGACATGATTGCCGACCAATACGTATGGGCATTCTGAGCAACTGCTTCTCTATTTTGCGACTTTTCTCTACTCCATCTATGTTCTGAAGCCCGCAAAGTGACGACGATGCCTCTCACCACGGACAGGATGCCCGTACCAGAAGCCATGCCACCTCGGCTATCTGCAATTGTAGAGGGCAACGACGGTTTGATGAAGCTGCTATTGGTCGCTGTTTCTATCGCAGCGATCCTTGGAGGTATCTATCTCTGGACAGTTCCCAACTCCATCACGGTACGTTCCCTTCACTATTGTTGGTGTTTGCCATTTTCTTATGGAATTGACAGGATCCGAGGAGGCGAAAACTACCTCCTGGCCCAAAAGGGCTGCCACTGATCGGAAACATGTTCGATCTCGCTGACTCAGATGATGTTCAAAATAAAGTACGCAAATGGCACCGCCACCATGGCGATATCTTCTACACAAAAGTTGGTGGCTCTGACTACGTTTGGCTGTCCTCCCCGAAGGTCGTCAAAGAGCTCATGGACAAGCGATCGGCCACTTGGTCTTCCCGGCCGCCTCTGCCGCTGGCCCAAGACGTCGCAAGTGGTGGTCTCCGACAGCTCTTCATGTCATACGGACCCCGCTGGCGCCAGCTTCGAAAGCACACCCACGCGCTGCTGAATCTCAACTCTTCTCTCAAGTACATGTCCGTTCAAGACTTCGAGTCAAAACAGGTCCTGCGCGACCTTCTAGACAGCCCCAAGGAGTGGTACACTATCAACCGTCGCTACTCTACGTCTGTAATTATGCTGGTTACTTACGGTCATCGTATACCGAATTTCGATGATCCGATGATTAAGAAGATTTATACTGTTCTGGACAACGTGACTTGGACCACTGCACTTGGTGCCCATGCCGTCGACAGCTTTCCATCTCTTGCTTCCTGGCCTGAAGTTTTCTTTGGCCACTGGCGCAGCAAAGCAAAAAAGATATTCGAACATGACAGCAAGGTATATCTTGAGCTCTGGGAACAACTGAAGAAAGAGGTCGATAGTGGCACGGCTAGGCAGTGCTTCTGCAAGGACTTCTATCTTTCTGATCCTAGTAAACATAACATCGACGACCTTCAAGCGGCTTACGCGTGTGGTGGCATGATTGAGGCTGGGTCAGAGACTACCGCAACATCAATTAATAATTGGGTCCTGTGTATGCTTCTCTTCCCTGATACTTTCAAGGAGGCTCAACAAGAGGTGGATAAAGTTGTGGGCAAGGACAGACTTCCACAATGGGAGGATGAGAAAGACTTGCCTTATGTTAGGGCTATGATCAAGGAACTTCTACGTTATCGCCCTGTGAACAAATTCGGTATGCATCATTATACCTCCGAAGACGATTGGTACGATGGCATGTTTATCCCCAAAGGATCGTGGGCCATTTTGAATTGGTGGTAAGTCAGGGCGCCCCTCTCCAATTGCGAAGAAGCTGATCATTAATAGGGCCATTCATCGTGACCCTTCACTCTTCCCCAACCCCGACATCTTTGATCCGTCAAGATATCTCGATAAGCCTCTAGCTGCTGCCGACTACATCAATACGAGTGATCCTTATGGTCGCGATCATTTTACGTATGGGGCGGGTCGCAGGGTATGTCCTGGCGTGCACGTTGCCGAACGATCACTCTTTATTAATATTGTTCGCGTAATTTGGGGGTTCAACATCGAAAAGGCTAAAGGACCTGATGGTAGGCTTATTGAACCTACAACTGCTATGGTACCTGGGTTCTTGAGTATTCCCGAGCCTTTTGATTGCGACTTTGTGCCCAGATCTGTCAGGCATGAGAAGATTATAAGAGAGGAGTTCACAAAGGCAGAGGAAATTGGGATCTAGCTAATAGTTAAGGATTTGAAGACTTAGTTTTTTTAATGAGCAAGACTCATGAAATATCTGATATGATGGAATGCAGATTGGTTGCTGTATCCTTACTTAATTGTCTCTACTTGAACGCACTATTGTTACTGCAAAAAGCACTCTGATTCCATTTCTGTTATTCGCGTTTACTCCTCTGGACCACCAAGCCAGCGGTACACCACAGAGCCGTCCTTATCCTAACAAGATATTAGTTAAAGTCATAATAGAGGTCCGGTTTCTGACTTACGAAGCATATTGGGTCAATTCCAGCCTTCTCAAAAGTCTTGATAGCCGCATTACCAATTGACGGATTTATACCAACACTTCTAGCTGCATCAACACCAAGCCCTACATCTTTGACCAGCATCTGTGATTTGAAGCCGGGCGCATATCCATTGCTGCTAGGAGCATGGGCCACAACACCAGGAACAGGATTCACATGATCAAGCATGAAGTTCTGACCTGTGGAGTGGTGAATCACTTTATGTAGAAGATGTTTATCCAGGCCGAGCTTTCGACCAAAAGCCATGGCCTCGCAGTTGGCTAGCAAGATGGTACAGGAGAGGTAGTTGTTACAGATCTTGGTAGCGAGACCGTTTCCAGCCTCTCCACAAAAGAAGGCCTTATTCGCGGCGCCCATATACCCAGCTATTGTTCGTAGGCGTTTGGAAATAGAGTCTAGCTCGATACCCTCCTGGGCCTCCGGTGCGCCTATCAGGAAAGATAAGGTGCCCTCGTCAGCGGCAGGCTTGCCTCCAGATACCGGAGTGTCGACATAGGAGCCCATTCCAGCCTGGCTTAGCTGGGCCACAACATATTTGGCTGTTTCTACCTCGATCGTGCTGCACTCGAGATATAATCTTTGAGCATTCTGTGACGCAGAGCAGGTTTCACTTGCAGCGATCACACCAGTCTCCGGATTAAGATACACATCCTTGACAATATCCCCTGTAGGGACGATGGAGATGATTGATTGCGCCTTCTCGGCAACAGCCTTGGCAGTTTTGACAACCTCGACAGGGCCAATAGAGGAGAACTCAGCCTCGAATTTCTCACAACTTGGACCATAGACATCATTGATGTACAGGGTAGCAGTGGAGTTCATCTGCTTACGGACATTGGCAGCCATGCCATAGCCCATGGCGCCCAGGCCTAGCCTCTTAGGGTTAGCGAATGTGGCATGTGGGGGACAATGTGGGGTAGAAATTCCCAGATCAGGAACCAATGTGGAGGGCAGGTTGGGCGTCGCTTGCGTGCGGGGACTGACCGATGAAACCGATATTATTCTCCATGCTGTGATTAGCGACTGTGGAAGAGCAAAGACTGTCTGTTCAACCATAGGAAAAGGCTGGGGAAGCTATTGTTATACTGCTTCAGGCCACCTGTAATTCCTTTGCCAACTCCGCACATGCGCTGAGAGTCGGAGGGGTGAGTGGAGAACAAAGCCGGCGCGGAGATAAGGCATGGAGATAAGATATGCCTAGCCTGATGCGAGATCACGTACTCAACAGGAAACCATCAGCACAGTCGCGTGGATGGCAAGCTCGTCGAAGACCAAACTCCCGGGCCATGATGGTTCTGGCGTAAAGTTGCATCTCCTAGACGGAGGTAGCTTCAGCACTGCGAGTATGAAGTTACTACACAAGGATGGATCTCCTGAACCATTCCGAATGTATGACTGGTGCTTCTTGATTCATCATCAGCCCTCTAATCGTTACGTTCTGTGGGACTTGGGGTGTAGCGATGTATGTCACGGTCTGCCCTCGTTACAGTCAAGGTCTAATGTAGGGTCGAGGACTACTCGGTGTACACACCATGGGTCAAAAAGTTTATGCTTCCCTATGCTAATATTGTAGGTCCGTTGAAGTCATTGAGAGAGCAGCTTGAATGCCTCGGAGTGCACGTCGGGCAAATTGACTCTGTTTTATTCAGGCATGCCACAGAACAATTTTGAAGGAATGTCTACTAACAGGCTGATAGCCATGCACATTGGGATCATTGCAGGCCCATAAGCCAAGAGTTTCCAAATGCACAGGCATTTTTCGGCCCTGGAACGAAAGACTTCTGTTCACCCGGCCACTTAGAGTCTGGTCAGCCCTCAGATGAGATCGAGTGGGATGGTAGGTGGTTTGGATCCAAGCAGCATGTTACGGAAGATTGGTCAGAGTTTGAGGGGACCTGGGTTCCATGGGGTACTTTTGAAAGAGCTCTTGATTATTTCGGAGACGGAAGCCTGTGGGTTATTGATGCCCCAGGTCATATGCCTGGGAATTTGGCTGCTGCGGTAAAGCTGCAAGGTATTGATGAATGGGTTCTACTAGGCAGCGATTGCTGTCATTCGATGTCAGTCACCGGGGAAAGGCATTCATCAAGACCATTTGCTGACTTGACTTGAATTAGGCCATTGCTTCGAGGCACAGAGGAGATGGCTACATACATTGGACAAGACGGCGAACTGAAGGCCTACCTTCAACAGGATATTCCGGCAGCTCACAAGACCATTGACAACATTAGGAAGCTTCAAGCTGATTATGGCGTACAAGTCGCCTTGGCTCATGACGCTACTTGGTTGATTGAACAGACGAATCCTGTATTGATGAGTCTTCTGGATGATAATAAGAAGGGGGCTTGGTTAGACAGAATAGCACAAGGCCTGAGGCCATAATGCCCTGCAAAATGCGGGGTGCTCTTCACCATCTCCGTGACATTTAAAGACCAGCATCCTTACGTCTTACAGTACCATAAAGGTTCACCCAGCATATCTTGAACAACTCACCATGGGCCTCCGTGTCGGTGTCATCGGGCCAACGGGCTTCGGCGGTTCGTACCTATGTGTTGAGCTGATCAAGCGCGGCTATGCAGTTCGTGGTATCTCCAGAAAACCTGAAAATCTGGGCCAGAATCCAGCATATACGCCTTACTCGATCGATATCGAAAAGGGATCTTTTGAGGACGTGGTAGATGCCCTCAAGAACCTGGATGTGCTGGTCAACGAATATGGCCCACACACTGCAGGAGAGCATGCATTGCAATACAGTCAGTCTAAGCAATTGCTCATTATTTCGCCAACAGCTAATTCTATGCTACAGAACCATTTCTAGAGCTGACGCGCAAAATAATAATCTGTGCAAAAGCCGCCAAGGTTGGCTATTTTGTCATGGTCGGCGGCTGCGGATCCCTACACTATCCCGGAAGTCAATTCTCAACTTGCGCTGATACCAAGATATTCTGGCTGTACTACCGCCGAGGCATTGCGGATAGCCACGCCCATGTTTCGTACATGGAAGAGAGACTCGGATCGATGGGCACTTCACTCCGCGATTATCGTAACGCGCGCCTTGCAGTGCGCCAAGGAAAGTCAGATCCTGCGGCAGAGAAGCTCATCGACAAGTACGAGCACGCTGTCATGTCTAACGATAGTGCCTTGGAGTTTGTGACGGCGGGAAGAACATCTTTCATGTTCTTTGATGGGAATGCATCCTTTCGGTGGACCTACGTGTCTCCTCCTGCCCTCTACCGCTCGGGGGTACGCACCGGCAGCTATACCCTTATTGAGGACGAACTGCCGGTGAAACCTGCACCTGAAGGACACGAAGAAAGTGACCTCACTGGGAGACTGCACGGGATTAGTGCTGCTGATCTTGCTATTGCTATTGCTGATGAGATTGGCAATGAGAAGCTGCTGGGGAAACACTGGAGCGCATACTCGGACATGTCTGACGACACTCCAACACCATCCTATGTCAGTCTCTAGATCATATTTATAGCCAAGTAAATTAAATTCTTAAATATTGTTCATGCAGCGTCTTTGTGAAGCCAGATCTGTGGGGTGATTGCTGGCCAACGTTGGTGCTTGTGTGTTGAAACGTGGAGCAACCCCGCATTTGGTTCTCGGGCAAAGAAAGGCATATTAGGCACTATAAGTAACCCGAAACAAACAGACATTCAATTGAAAAACATATCCAAGAATTAACAAAGTGTCTGTTCATCATGCCTCTCGCCACAGATCAAGCAGGAAACACTGTCGTCGAGCACAGCAATGGCCAGCGCTCCCATTACAAACTAGATGACTTTACCGACCCTTGGAAACCAAGAAAAACAATATTCATCCAGCACGGATTTGGCCGAAATGTGAACTTTTGGTATAAATGGGTACCAGTGCTCGCTCAGAAATATCAAGTCATCCGCCGTGATCTACGCAGCCACGGACTTTCCAGCCACCCCAAACCAACGGATGGATACGACTACAGTCTGGACACTATACTGTGGGAGATCATCGATACTATGGATCAGCTAAAGATTGACAAAGTGCACTTTTTGGGAGAGTCTACGAGTGGAATGCTGGGTGAAGCATTGGCCGTCAAATTTCCGGAAAGGATCTCTTCTCTCATCATATGTTCCTCGCCTACGGTTCTGCCACCAAGCACACTTGAGTTCTTGGCATTTGGCAGAAAGGACTGGCCCACCGCTTGTCGTGAACTTGGGTCTCGTGGCTGGGCGCAGCAATTGGCAAAGGTTCCGGGAACCATGGCGTCAGATGACCCAGAGTACCCAGCTTGGTGGCTAGATCAAGTGTCTTCGTCTCCTTCTGAGGGACTTGCAGCATATGCGGGGTTTCTAAGTACCCTGGACGCACGGCAGTTTTTGAAGGATATAAAACAGTCTATGCTTATTCTGGCGCCAAAAAACAGCGCTGCAGTTAGTGTTGGTTCGATGGAAGATGTGGCGCGTCAGGTGGCAGGTGCACAGCTCAAGGTCATTGATGCTCCCGGTCACGAGATATTTACATCCGGGGCTGAACAGTGCCAACAAGCGGTCTTACAATTCTTGGAATCTTTGTGAGAGTAGAATGTGTACATAAGACCAATACAACATTGAAAAAGGAAAATCGCTTCTTCCCCAGGCAAGAATCTGTAGACAGGAAATAGACACTTGATACATATCCAGACAGGGGTTGATCGATTTAGACTTCGCAATGTGGGGTAAACAGACTCGCATTGTAGGCTATATCTATTCGTTGACAGCCATTTGACCCCAAGACTGAAGACTTTCTGACAATTGCTTCTGTTAATCCCTGGGTAATCATATGCTCTTAAAGTGCCGAATAGCATGTCAGACTTGGCCAACGCATTGCAGGCTTTGGAACTCCTTGAATCAACAGCACAGGGCAAAGCCAGCTTGTCTGTCATTCAGGGAGGAACATTTACCATCGACTTAAGCCTTTTTGTCGACGGCGTATCCAGGGATAAGAGAAGTACGGTGCCGTGTCTTTGTTTCATCATCACCTACCAAGCCCCAAACGGCAAGAAGAAGCGCATTCTGTATGATTTGGGCATCCGTCGCGACATTAGTTCATACCCACCGAGAATCCAGGAACAACTACCTCTTCACTACCCTTTGGAAGCTCTTCCGGACGTGAAGCAAAGACTGCTCGAGGGCGGCTTGTCCCCGAAAGACATTGATCAGGTCATCCTCAGCCACATGCACTGGGACCACACTGGTACGCCTTCTGATTTCCCGGATGCCACATTCTCGGTGGGCTATGGATCGCTGGCTTTGCTGGACGGGCCTCCAGATACCAGGAATGCACACAATAATTTCTCAAAGGACCTTTTTAAAGGTCTCGAGATAAAAGAATTCCCAGATCCCAGAGGCTGGAGGATCTTTGGGGGACTTAAAGCTTGGGATGTTACAAATCAAGGCTTTATATACGTCGTGGATTCTCCCGGACACTTGATTGGACATATTTCACTGCTGGTACGGCTGGGAGAGAAGAAATGGGTGCTCTTAATTGGAGACTCTTGCCACGATCGGCGGCTTCTGTCTGGCGAGCAGGCGATAGCGCAATGGGAGGATGGCGATGGCTTTTTATGCTGCGTTCATGGAGATAGGGGTGCAGCTGCACAGACTTTAAAGGCCTTTAGAATTTGGGCAAATGCAGCGACGGAATGTGGGATTGACTTTGACATTGCCTTTGCTCATGACATAAAGTGGGCACAACAACATCAAGAGGCATTCCTCTAAGGTATGTAAAATATATAACTCCCTAATCTAAACTACTGCTTCTATACTGATATTTCTTTATGTTTTAATTAGAACTTAAATTTAGTAAAACTATTTACAATCCTGCTAATTGTATCTCTATTTATATAACTAATCTATAAGAAGATTCCTTATATTATATAAAATCAGGCCCTCTATAAGCACTCCAATTAAAGGCTTTAATTAGCTTTTATGTAATGCCCTGGCACTCCATCGTAGGCATGAGATATATTATTATTTCTATGCCTCATGCCTTAACATGCTCTATATTCTATATAGAATGCAATCCATCTCGATACTCAAGACGTAGTAATTTCGGCTCTCTCGCGCTACTCGCTAAGATCCTTTTCTTCACATTCTCTCTCCAGGCATAGGCAAGGCCGATATGGCGAAAGGTTCCCGTCTCTCCTTCGACCATCTTGAACAGCAGTATGTGCATACCTCTTCCATCCCCAGTTTTCAACCTAGCACACATAGAATACAACAATCCTTTGGTGTTTTCTTCCTAGACCTCTTTCATCCATATAAGCCTCCTTACTAGTAGAGAGGTAAGTAAGCACATAAGTGTATGCAAATAGAGGTAAGTAATCATACAGGCTTCTACAAGTAGAGACATACTTGCATCTCTACTTATAGAGGTAATTACATAATTACTTTCCCTCTACTTGTAGAGATGCAGTAGCGGAAGTGTAATCAATATCAACACTTGTCAACCTTAGCTATGTCACGGCGCTCGCGACGACTCTGCTAAACGGTACTGACAGACTAGAGCTGGGGTGTCTCTTTTCCTGCAAAAAGGCCCGGCGCCTAGCGGCTAGGTCTTTAACGCCTCTTCACGGGCACAGACCAGTGTGTATTGCTATTAAAGTATTATCTCTTATTTCTAATAACTTAAAAACTACCACTGTAAAATAACATAAGCAGAATAGCTTAGATAGCCAATACCTAACCCTTCAACCCTACAAACCCTACTAACCCAACGGTACACTTCTCTCTGTCTAATGGGAGCTTATGGCATGCAGGCCAGCAATACGTCCAAAGACGAGTGCCCGCATAACGGCCACTGCATTTGGAGCCTTCTCGTAGAAATGGCCAGTAATCTCACCTGCAGCATATAGATTAGGAATGATGCCTCTCTGGCCAAGAACGCGCGCTTCCACATCAGTCGCAATGCCGCCGAAAGTGTAGACAATGGTCGCGGCTAAGGGGAATGCGGTATACGGCGGAGCGTCGAGCGGCCTAGCCCAGTTCGATTTCGATGGTTGCAAGCCTGAGGTAGTGGCGAGATTATCAAGCCGGCCAGCCGTAAAGCCAGACATGTTTGCGTTACAGGCTGCATTGTAGTCTAAGATTGTGTTCAGAAGCGCTTGTTCCGGCATCCCCATCTGTGCCGCCAGACCAGAAATCGTGTCCGCTGTCACCGGCGGCATATCGGAGCGGATAGCTGCCTCATGGTCCTCCAGTTGAAAAAATCTGGAATCACAAATTGCCCAGGCTAAGCGGCCCGGTGTGTCAAAATGTATGGTTCTGGAAAGATGCTCCCACGTGTCATGCACGAGTCCAGCACCTTCATCTACGAACCGCTTTCCGTCCTGATTCACCACAACCCCGTACGGGTAATTGAGGACCAGTGGCGCTGGCTGACTGCTCCGTGGGTCGATTACTTCGCTGTGCATTCCGTTCCAATCGCCAGAGGCCTTGGCTCCGTTGGCCAGCGCCATCTGGATGCCGTCGCCGGCGTTCCAGGCCGTCCCAGGTGATATCGGTCTCAACGTCTCCGCACCAGGACCAAGATGAGTACGCAGCATGTCTGGACTGCCTTGAAACCCACCACTGGCGAGCACAACAGACCGGGCAATGATTCGTCGCCCATCAGCTGCCTCAATCATGGCCTGTCCTCGGCCAAGATGAAGTCGCTGGGCACGGCAATTATACACCAGTTGGACACCCTTCGATTTGGCTGATTGCTTGAGGGCTTCGACAATGGCAGCACCTTTGCCAATAGGCTGGATCCTGTTAGGCCAAGATTTCAAGAAATAGTCCATGGCGTGAAACTGCACCCCCTGCTTTTCGAGCCATTGGAGGGCTTCAGGGGCCTGGCTAGCCAGCCTTTCGAAATACGCGCGGTCGCCACCACTTCCGCTTGCAGCCATCATGTCGTCCACGAAGCCTGGTAATACCTCATTGACAGATGGCATTCGCATGTTGGCAGGGCTCCAGCGTGAGTTTCCACCGCTCGCATGCTCTGGTGCATGCTCTAGCACGGCTATCTGCGCCGAGGGCGAGAATTCTGCAGCTGATACTGCAGCGGCGAGGCCGGCAATGCCATGGCCAACTACAACAAGGTCGTACATGCTGATATACTCGAGTCTGAAAATCTTAGAGGACTCGGCTTCAGGGTGTTGGTGGTCTATGTCTCTTGGAACGCTTCTTGGTTGCGGTATTATTAGAAAATTGAGGCTCTTACATACAAGCTTCAGATGCTCGCGGACTCCTGCAGGGGTGAGTGCGCGTGACCACATTGCGATGACTCGATCTTCCTGAAGTAGAGTAGCCGCTGCAGCAAAAAGAGATGCGTCAGAAATTATTGTGGAGCGGACGGTCCTTTTGTAGCGGTGTTCCACAGATGGCGTAACGTGATTGATAAGCGAATATCCCAGACAAGCCAATGTCCCACGAATCTACCCTTCCATACTATCATTATTTGATCAATTAATCTACAACAACTAAGTATGGCAGTTCCAAATAATGAGGCTAGTATGAATCTAGCACTTCAAGCCCTTCCAAAAGACCCAGAGCTAAGCGTATGACGTACAGCACAGATCTACCAGGTGTATAGAAAGAAGCTACGCCGCCATCAGCAGAGTATACAGCCTTGAAGCGACAATATAGGGTAAGACGTCATCAATGTGCGGGCCCCTGCTCTTTTGCTCACTGTGCGGCTGCAAGGAGGTAATACTATTAGCGATGTGTAGTCTAAGTTAGATGCCAAATGCGAATACGGGCCTAAGTATCCTAAACTCCAGAGAATATATAATAATACTAACTATTTATATAGAAATAATAAAAGATATATTATATAAATATCTATTAGAATGTAGGTTATATATTCTTTGTATTGTTGTTTTACTTGGCCGGGCCTTTTGTGACCTTGAGGCCCTAGAGAATTTTCTTGCTTAAGTAATATGCATTGCGTTTAATTAAAACGAATTGCTAAAGTGGGTTCCGCGCCTCGTGGCCCACTGTTCAGCGTTGCACAGTTAACTCCGGTCTGACAGAACTTACCTGCTTAAGGACTTACCCGGTATCCTTGTTCAAACGGATTAATACTGCCACACTCAAGCAGTCAATAACCAATAAAAGGAAAAATTTCCTACTTACATAGCAGCAGCTCGACAATTTTACATTCGTTGTTTTCCGCGGCCAATTAGAGCACCTTCTTGCCCTAACGATCTTATGCGTTAGTACTAGACCTCCGTTCCAATAACAATCGCATCAATGTTGTGTTGTCATAATGAGCACCCTAGTGCAAAGCGCTCTGTCCGTGATAGTCTGTAGCGTTGACATCTACTCCTATTTTAACGAGGTAGTTGGGGATCTAAAACCGCGCGTTCTTTGCAGCTAGTAGCACTGCTATCCAGCCCTACATCAGAGTATCCGTTCTCGGCAGCAATATGTAAGCAGACCGGCCGTAATGCTCCTGCTGGTCAGGGTCTGCCCGTTATGGAGCATAAGGTCTATAAGATCTTTTTATGCAAGCCAGGCTATAGGTATAAGAGCGGCAGCATCTCTAATTAAATCTTATGTATTTATATCAGTACTAATATCTAGAAGGGTAAAGGCTCTCTGTTTGTAGCTACTGTTGATGGCCTGGCTGAGAGAAAATGGTAAGCAGCTTAAGAGTGGCACGTAAAGATACGGATTTAAATAGTGCATTTAGAAGAACAAACCAGATAGAAAATATATAACCGGTCTAGCTTATAACAATCACAAATTATCTTTAAGCCAAGATCTGTATAGATGTCTAACTTTATGAGTGATAAATGGCTTTATATCGAACCAAGACTTATAAAAAACCTATTTATGCACCTAAAGGATGTAGAACCTCTTTCTGACTTGGTGCTTTATCAGCTCCTGAAATAGGTTTACGGAATTCTACCAACATAGCATTTATAGATAGAGAAAACATAGGGCATCTATTACAAAGAGGACAGGAATAGGATAAAGATTTATTAGATTTTTAGACTTATTTTCTTTCCTCTTAGCCTGTTATTTGGCATTTTCTGGGGGATCCTAAAGAAGGATATATAAGGTGCATTTAGTATAGCGAGTTGGTGGATAATAGGAGCTGCTATTATGATAGGGATTGTTAGAACGCCTGCATAAGAAGGGTTATATACAGGATTAAATCACTAAGCATATAGGATATATCCCAGTCTGTCTGTTAAGTTGTTTTATAAGAGCGTCTGCCATGACACTAGATCTGGCTTGGCATTATGAGTGGTGTGTATACCTTAGGCAGTGCATACACTTTATACAGTGCATTAAGGTCGGCTGTCTCGCTCTCTCTGCCGAATAATTAGTCTTCAGACCAGATAAATGCATCATAAGACTGTACATATTATTATCTTGTCTACTTTTGCATTTCTGGGTCTTTCTTGTATGGGGAATGAGATTCCAGTAGGAGCCGCCGGCTTACGTCTCTATATCTATAGTAGGCACCCTAGAGACGGCGCTAAGGGCGATTTGCGTCTTACCGATGCTGCCGACATAACTGTCTTCTGGCTTAACGAGATACCGCTTGGTATTTCTGATGGGTTGTTTATCAAATTTCTGATAGCATGTCGAGCGTAACAGAGGTAGAATTTATTGACTGTTGGAAGTAGGAAAATTATGTATCACTTTTCTCACGTGTACCCTTGTCTAATTCTGTTAAAAAGTTGTGCTTATAAGTAGTGATTTCTTTAGTTATGTTTGATTTA